ATGGGTGCAAAGGGCGAATCGAAAGTATAGGAAAATCAAGCGCTGGGTGGAATTTCATACTGTTGGCATGGCTTCACCGCTCCACTCCACTCCGCTCCGCTCCGACCATGTCTGTGTGTCCGTGTGTGTGTGTGCTATCCTTTGACAAGGACCACGAATGTGCTGCAGCAGGGTTTCGGTCGCCAGAGCTCGTCGTCCTTTGTACCTTCTGCCCGCTGTCCATGTCGATGTGTTGGCCATTTTATTATATTTGCTAGCAGACATTTTTTGCTCTAATACGAAAATGGGATTTTAGGATATAAAAATTATGATAGATTACCGCTGCACACCCATACTCCTGTCCTCCTCCTCCTGCTGCTGCTCCTCCTGACCCAATCACCCACAGACATTCTTCAAGTCGACGGAGCCACTGCAGTCTGGGACCTGCCCCAGCCACTGCATCTTAGTGGAAATTGCGCCCAGCTTAGCTGGGTAAAATCATTTCATGATAAAAGTGGCTCTCAATTGCTTTGTTGCTTGTACTCGTAGCACGCCGCTGCGCTCTGCTACGGAACTCTTTCTGGAACACTTTTTTTATTAAATGCAAGCCTTGACGAGCAAAAGGAATGCCTGGATGCCTGGATGCCAGAGAGCAGCTGTCACACAAAGGATCCATCCAAAGTAATAATCATAATTCATTATGCCGACTAGTGTATTACACGTATTATTATCCTGAATGTACGGTTATTTGATTCACTCCAACTAGCATTTATTCTCAAAGTTCGTACTAAATTAAGTGTCCCTTTGGGGACTAACTTTGGTTTTATGAAACATTTTTAGTATGAACCCAATTGAATTCAAGCTGAAATTTAAACAGCTAGCTAATGAATACAGTGAGAATTTTAGCCCCAAAGAGAAGTGTTTCTCTTTGTATTGAGCTACCAGGCTGAGCTGCCTCTTGTACACCATTACAGTGACAATTTGTTCGACTGAATTGTGTGGGTGTGTGGCACTTGCAGCCATTTGTGATCTGCTGAACGCTTCTTGTGCTCATTTGTATTGATCTTTCACTGGTGGCCATTAGAATGCAGTTTCTCTCGTTGAGACACTCGTTGCACTCGTTGTTTGATCTGCAATTCACTTACTGAGCTTCACTGGTGGCCATTGCCATGCAGTTTATTTAATTTTCTAATATTACGCATACGATTAGCAGCACCTTGACTGGCCAGCTTGCATCCTACGCAGTTGCCTTTGATGTATCCCATGCCTCTGGCTGTTACACAGAAATGTTTTTTTTTTGCTTTAAATAAAACCCACCTGTAATCCATCAAAAGAAATTTTAAACGCATTTTCGGTTCTACTAAACTGAAATGTTACATGATTAGAGCGCCAATGGCTGCGTGTCGCCCATGCCTGGAACTAAAAATAGAATATAGCGCCATCTATTGTCCAATGAAAACGAGGTTAGCTAAAGCTTTGAAAAGCTCAAACTAACTTTGTACTAACTTAATATTTTAGTCGTCTTGTAGATGAAAACTTTAAAGGACATAAAATGACAAACAAAAATTCCTTTGGCTCTCTTGGGTAAAAAACAACCATATATATACACATGCATATGTATATATGTATGCATGCATAAATACTATTAAAAAAAATCCTCCAATCTGGCGCCAGCTCTGTCCCACACTGTACCAGTAATTTAAGCTTTCGTTAAGATAAATTTTTTAATTGTCGTTGGCTTAGCCGTTGGAAACATTTAACCCTGACAAAAACAAAAACAAAATCGTGATGCAATTTTTTGTGGATGTGACAGTTTCGCAAAATGACACACAAAAGCATTAAAAACAAACAAAAAACTGGAAAGCACGAACTGTGCTTACACTTACAAAGATGACAAAAAAACAAACACCTCATGAAATTATTCAATTTCTGATTTATTTTTATAGCTAAACTAAGTACCCAAACATGCGATTTTGTATGTTATAAATTCTAGTGAATATTATAGCACTTTTTTAAGCTAATCTAATTTAAATCTGAAAGCCACATTAGCTCAAGCGACAAGAAAAACACGAAAGGCGGAATCATTCAGTGAAAAAAAAATAAAACAAAACCTAAGGTTCAACTAATACGAATAGCCGATGGCCTGCTTGATAGCTTAGCCAGTCTGATTTTACCCACAGTCAACAGGTAAATAAAATGATATTTTCGTATATATTCGAATTTTTTCTTTGTTCCACTTAAGTGGATGGTCAGTCGGTGGGTTTGCCTTCTCTTATATTTCAAATTATTATTAAGTTTTAATTAGACAACAACAAATTGCGCCATGCATTTGAGGTACCCCCCAAAGGTCGCTGCTGCGCGATTAGCCAACTGGCCAAGTTTTGAGCTACTAGTCAACGCCAGTGCGTCTCTGGGCTCTCTAAGGCTGTAACGTTCAATTAAACAATAGTCTGGGGGCCCCCAGCAATGACTCAACCGTCCCCTGCTGCTTTTCGGTTGCTGTTAATATGTACTACGAGTACGAGTAAGTATACAACTCTGCTCACACGAATGTCGCGTGCTACCTGCGTGAGCAAGCGAGCGAGCACTGAGAAAAATAATTGAATTTATTTATATTAAATCCAAAAAAAAACACTAATAATGTGTTATAAGTTGCAGCCTCCGGAATGACTCAACTTAATTAACAAGTTTTGGATTAATTTTTTGTTCATCTTGGTACAATTTTACTACGGAAAAATGTTTCACTCCATAACAATTTAATATATTTTCTAACATTTTCCCATCAAGCCTAAGTCAGTGTTCGAAAATGGACTTTAAGACGAACTTTTTCGCTCAGTGCATGTTTTTTTGTTTTTGTTTTTTTTTTTTATGTGTGCAAGCTCTGTTTCTCACTTGTACTCCCATTCTCCTTTGGGCAAAGCTGCTACAAGTGGCCTCAGGCCGAGCCGCGTTTTCAGTCCGAGTTTAGTTTTTGATTCGGTTTCGGGCGGTTCAGAGTCGATGATTGAACAACTTTCCAGTGCGGTTTACACCGATTCGAGTGCAAAAACACTGTTTTAATATTACTTATTAGCGCTCCAAATATTTCAGTCAAACCTTCGTGTCGTTTGCCACCTTTAAAACACGAAAAGTTCCCTATTGTTGCGTTCTCCCTTTGGTTTATTTTATGAACTTCTGTGGCGACTTCTGGTTCTAATTAACGAGCTCTGTATTCGCTGGAGTTAATTATCCGAAAATTCGGCACTGAAAATGGGTAATTCCAGTTCCATTTGCGCCGATCGGAATGCCGTAAGAAATTTTGATGAAAATGGGTAAGGAAACAAACGAAAACAGAAAATCAAAAAAAATCAGAAGCCCCACAAAAAAGGCAACTGAAAACAAAAGGAGAATGGGAGGATTGCGAGAGGTGTCCGATTAGTTGCTTGAACTGTGATGCACATTTTGTGATATTTATTTTAAAATTTTAAATTTAAGCTACTTTTTATGGCAAAACGAAAAAAAAAAAGAAAAAAATGAGTCCTTATACTCAAAGTAACACAAGAAAAATTATCGAAGCCTCCTTTCAGACACATTTTGAGATTATTTGTTCATCCATTAGTAGCACTATATAGAATCTCCCCAACTTTTAGCTCCAACCTGCAATTAGTTGGCTTATTTATGCTGCACGTCCAAAACAAACGCCCCCAGCCACACCCCCGAGCTGTTGCTGTCAAAAATCTTCCTCACGTCATTAGTGTTTAACGATGCGATTTACTGTCGTTTTATCAGCGATTTACGCGCGACTCATCGACACCCGACTCGTCGGATAAGTTGGCTGGCACACGCCCCACTATAGTCACTATAGTCACTTTGGACGGAGCGGTCAGCAGTTGGCCCAGATCTATAATTAACGATTTTCGATTTAAACCCATATTAAATCGCTGGACAGCCAGAAAAAAGCGGAGCGACAGGTGCGTTTCGCTACTCGGTCATAAAGGTCCTCGACAAAAATAAAGACTGAACACACGAAACAAAGCTGCTGTAAATTATTAATATTGATGAAGGTTGCCCCGCACACATGTGTGTGTGTAATGTTCCAATTTATTGGCATGCCATGTTGTACTTTCAATTTTTGTGTAGTAATTGAATGGTACGGCCGCACCAGACAGCTGATTGCCACAAGTGCAAACTCAGGAGGGGTTGGGATCGCTACGGCTACGGTACGGTATATGGAAGGTTAAGGTTGAGGTTTCCATTTGGACTGACTTGCCAAATATTTTAGAAACCGATCTGAATATCTACTATATAGTTCATGTGTATTGTACATACCGAACCCACTTATAAATCTTTTTGAACCGTTTTGAATTTTTCCATTTGACATTTTTTTTAATCATCTGATTTTCAGCCTCAAGGTAGTAACATTTTTTCTTGCTCAATTCGAATAACTAATTGAGTTAGATCTGCGATGGTATTTGCAATTCCAATCTGTATCTGAACTTGCGCCCACCTTGGGTATAGTCAATCGCATATTATCGCGGTCTTAGATCGTTTAAGACTTGGTCATTATCGATAATTCGATAACATTCGTTCGTGGTCATTCGTTTCAAGGTCATGCTCGTCGCAAATTATAATTATGTCTCGCAGCTTTTCTGACTTCCAATTAATGTAGGGGACGGGGACTTTATAGGGACGGCTCTGTGCTCTGTGCTCTGGCGGTATCTTTACTTTATCGAATGGCGTTCACGCCCCAGCGTAATGTCTTCTATGGCCCAGACACTTGATAATTGTTGTTATTATGCCACACGAACGAGCAAATAAATAAACATACGTATGTATGTACACATTTCCCGTTGTTATCAGTCAGCTGCTTTTCGTCCGAGCGGCGACAATCTGGCGAGAGCTGTCATGCAAAAGTGTAAAATGTAATTGGCGAAAAAAGTGAGCGAAAAATCGAGTGCCTCGCATTTTGAGCTCAGTTCCCTTTGAGTGCTGCAGCACGACGGCAGTCCAACTGAGCAGAATAGAAGCGGGTGCTGAGATCTGAAACTGAATCAGAGCTGTCAATATCAAGTGTCTTGTGAACATAGAGACCATATCAGGTGCAGCCACGATGTACTCTGCTCTCCGGCGATATTCCGCGTACTCGAGCGGAACCTTTGGACGACGGCTCCAGCGGCTGTGAGTGTGTGGGGAAATAGACTAATAACAATAATAATGAGCGTGGACCGGTAGCAGGGTTAACCAATGACATTGCTTATCACGGCGCAACAGATCATCGAAGGCCTGTCTGGAGCGAGCATCACCTGTTCGGACTGGGGTTCTGTACGATAAGCGTGGGGAGATAAAGTCAAAGACAAAGTTGCTGACATTCCCTCACATAACACTCGATTCTCATAGTTCCGTAATTGAATTACAGGGCGCACATTCCCACATATGTACTTACCATCCCTCTATCTCTCTCTCTCTCTCTGACTCTTTTCCAATATCTCTCCCACCCAGCACGCCGGTCTATCCAACTGCAAATAATTCCCACAGCCCTTCCAATGGCCAAATAACGCCGTACCATCAGCAGCAGCAACAAAACCTCTACAAAACCACAATTCCCGTTGGTAGTTCGCGGAGCACCAGCAGCAGCTGTTCTCACTGCCGAACAGCTGACCCATGCTCAGGCGCACTGGCGAACAACAACAACAATGAGAGCACGGCAACCACGACCACCACCACCCTGCCCATACCAGCCCACATTCTCTCTCGCACACACACCCAGTCGTCGGGAGCGGGAGCGGCGGCACAATGTACATGTGGCGACGCTCCGACGTCGGCGCAAAAATGGCGCAGTAGTCGTGTGTGTAAAAATCATACGACTACAACGACGACAACACTCGAATACGAACTTTCCAATTTTGCGAAACTAACGACACAAATCAGTACGCAAAGCGACGGCGACAGAGCAACATCATCATCAGCAGCAGCACCAGCAGCAGCAGCAGCTGACACAGGAGAAGAAGCAGCAGCGAAGCCAAGCGATCAACTACAAGTCACGGACTTGCCGCCACCACCGCAAGGACTTCACGTATCCTCGCAGTATCACTGGAACCAACTGCAGCGGAGTCTTCACGCTCTCCACCAGCAGCAACTGTGCAACAGCTTCCAGCCGCATCAGCAGCAGCAGCAGCAACGTTCTTACAGCAACGAAAAAAATAGCGACAACATGAGCAAGCCAGTTGGCATCGAGCAGTATGCACCCCGCGATCGTCTGGGACTTTGGGGCACCGGCGACAACGAAGTCGTTGGTAGCATCTCCGGATTAACGCGTCTCAACGACAAGCGCTATTCAAAGGTGAGTCCCCCCCCTCGCTCCGTCTCTTATGTATTTAGCCCTTGGGCAGCAAACATTTTGAGTGGAAAAGTACCAGGAAAAAGTTTTTGCGTGCAGGGTGGGTTTTTTGCTGCCCCAGTGGGGAATCAATGATAGAGATGACACAGTGGTAGCCACTAGTCTAGTACCAGTCGTCTCAATTAGCTGCTGGCTATTTTTAAAGCAATGTCATAAAAAATTCCAATTCATAAATAACGATTTAAAGGAAATGTCAGCTGACAATTCAAAGCAGAGAATATATTTTTGTTTTTTGGCAGTTTGCTCCATTTCTTGCGGCGGGTGCGTGGTGGCTGGTGGCTGTGGTGTGGGTGACCTTTATATGACATAGCCGGCCCCCAATGCGAGAGCGGGAGAACAACAGCCAGACTGTCAGTCCAGTTTGACGCGAACACGCGCCGCTCTGGAAGACCAAAGCTCAAACTTTTTTTTTTGTTTTTATTCATTATTTTTTTTTGTGTCTGATGTCAGATGTTGGAACACACAGAAAATCGATAGCAAGCCGCCTATAATTGGTCAATTAAATGGCCATCACAATCAGGCGTAAGGGTATCGGCAGAAGGTATCAGAAACTGATAGAACTAATCTTTAAACTTTTTCTCTTTGATTGCATTTCAAGTTCAATGCCAATTTGCAGATGAGATGTTGTTTTGTGCTTTTGCTGTTTGCAATTGTTTTTCCGCTATTTTCACATGGCAGCTGAGAGCCAATCTGGTTGCCTGCCATTGTTGCCTGCTCAGAGAGCGCACGTATTCAGTGTTCGTACACGGTTCTCTAGGGGGTTGGGGACAAGGGTATTTTTTATTTCATACAGCTGCATGGAATAAACCAAATGGCAGAAAATGCTGTTATGCATGTTTTTATACACGCCACCGGGGCGGTGGAGGGGGCCTTCTCTTTCTCAAATTAATGAAATTTTCGATCAAACAGCCAGACTGATGGAGCTGTCTTCCGCGTGCTGTTTATACATCTAAATTCTTACAAAATTGTTTCCACATAATAAGAGTATTTAAGGGGGGGTTGGAGAATATCCACATGAGAGGGAGATATCAATATTCCTCCCTGACTGCCTTTAATAACAATAATTATTATTTTAGAGAGGCCCAATTTTGTATTACGTCAGAGCACAATGTCATAGAAATGTTAAACTGAAATTAATAATGTAGCCAGAAATTACTGGCAGTATCTTTGTCTTATCGGAGATGTTATTGCTACTTACTTGCCTTCGAGCAAACGACAACCTGCTTATCGCACAGACCCCTGTCACCCCCCGGAACTTGAGTTCTGCACTCAACAGCTGATGTTTGTATGCCCACTGGAAGTGTTTTGATTTTGATTTTGTTATTCATATCTCTTTTCCGCACACCCATGGAAAGTTTTGCAGTTCTTATCGCATTCCAAAAATAAAATTTAAAAAAAAGTAACTCGAGTCAGAAGAGAGAACAAGCGCAAAGAACTGACCTACATTCAGCTATAAATTTAACTCCAATCCGAACCGCAAAACCAACAACAGAACCAAGTGCGATAATACTCTCACTCATAGCCCTGTATCAGACATACATACATACATATGTGCTTATATATATTATATATAGTCGAACCATACATATATCAGCGTGTTTGCTCACACCAGACACCATTAACAGTGCGCCGGATAGAAGACCATTTGCATATCATTTCATTTTTGTTTGTCTCTTGCTTCATGCGCTATTCCTTCCCCCTGCTGCGTCTTGTTGTTATTTATTTGCTTTCAAAGGAAATTAAAAATTTAAACAAATTCAAGCGGTCAATGTGCTGAACGAGCAGATAGTTCGATACTTATTGTAGCTCTGTTAAATGTGCATAGTTCGATTTAATTGCTGTCTACCCAATGAGATATACACACACATGGATATTTGTTAAAATAAATTGACCTGTGTGAACTATTACGAATCAATTTATCTTTGGATATTTCAACAGATTATGGAATGATGCGTTTAATCATTTTAAATTTGTGTATCTAAAACTGTGAATATTTGTAAACTAACGCCTTATACCCAGCATCAGCCATTCCCTTCCATGTACTACTTCCGGTGCTTTTAGAGCCTGCCACATCCCATCCATCCTCTCATCATTCCGCACAGTCTGGCCCACAATGGCACAAAGTGCAAGCCTTGAACAAAAGGCCTTTCATCCGCTCACCTTTTGCAGAGCAAACAATCGGGTGGGAATTGTGCCTGTGTTATGTCTGGGGCTCAGTTCGCGCTGATTAAGGCGGCGCTTTCGTCATCTGTAGGTATTCACAGCTCTGACCCAGACAACCATTCATAATGATAATGATGATGATGTGATGATGATCATCATCTGGAACTGGTCGCGCCAGACGGTGCAAATATCAGCTGAGCGCTAAATTCGTGGAGCGTATCAGTTTTCTTCTCTTTTTCTGTCTTTGGTTTTTGTTTTTTTCTTTGCAATTTCATACGAAATATGTATGCGTAATTGCGAAGTTGCCTCTTACTTTCAATGCATGTTTCGCTTACATATATTGCTGTGGGGCAAGCTCGAATGTTTGCCGCACCTGTTGCCAGGCAGGCTAGCACCCCAGCTAGCTAAACACTTTTTTCGCACGTTCATCCTCCGTCGTGCCTTCGTTTTCAATGTCAACGGTGTCAACGGTTCTCAAGTTTTCGATTATTTCACCAGCGCCCCACCGATGACGTAGCGAGCGAGCGATAACGTGAAATTATGTAGTGTTTATGGGGGATCACTTGGGCATGCTACGCGACCTGTTATTCGTTTATTGTGTCTTAAATGGTACTATCACAGTGCCCCTAATCAGTACAACTACCGGGAAAATGTATGAAATTGAACTAAACTTGACGCATGCACACGCACTTCATGCATGTGCTTCCCTTTCCCTTTCGCTTTCATTCAAATATACTAATTCGAATTAACTTTGATTAGATAAACATTCATGTTCAGTTCGAGAGTTTTATTGCTGGGAATTACACACACTAGTGATTAATTTTGTATCATCAATGCAACTACTAGGCAGCGAGGGTAAAGCTTTGCTTAGGGATATAATAATATGAACTAATAAAATTCAGTGAAAATGTAAGAAATTCAGTCCATAGTAAAATAATGATATCTAAGCAATATAGTATGCATTTATTTGTTTGTTTATTTATTTCTCATCGTGAATATCACAAAACACAGCATGTGCTATTTTATCTGAATTAGTCACGAAGCCAATAAACATAAAATGCTGCGTGTCATCCTGACTTGGGGTACCCCACTGATTGTACGGTTATTCTCTATAAGAGTCGACTCATGAAAAGAATTGGGCAAAACCCTTAACCAATGAAAAATACATTCGTGTTGATAAATCTATATTTAAGTCAAGAGACTCAACCGCAAAGAAAGTTTAGGAAATATATGTGCCAAAAGTTAATTTATTTGCACCTCAAAGCATACGATAAAATAAAAATTAACGCTGTTTTGTTTTTGTAACAGCGCGAATGGCAGTGACTGATGGTGAAAATATTGAAAATGAAAATGTGCAAATGTTACGTAAATAAAAGTTGAAAGAAATTTGCGATAAACTTTGACATATTCACACCACCTTTGTTCGGTCACGACTTCTGTGTGTAGCTGCCAATCGCTAAATTCCATTTAATGCACGAGTGAGTAATTATTCCCTAACGTGCATATCAGCAGGCACATCCGCGTAAATTGTATAAGCCAGCATAATGCACCTGTTTGGCAGCTTTTTTTTTAATTGGCGGTGACCTAGTCCGTGGCTTTAGCAACGCCCCCAACATAATTGCATCCTATGGTTGGCAGTCATTTTCGTAAATAGTCGCAGCAATTACAAAGCCAAATAAACTTTCAAATCCACCGCATCATCGTGCGTGTGAATCGAGGCCAGGCTCAGCTGTGAGTCACGATTTCAAGTCAAAGCTCGATTTCAAATGCATTTGAATACCGACATGGACAGAGCTAGAATTTGACTTTGAACTTGAAATCGTTGTGGTGCCTGGGTGGAGCGCTAATCTCTCCCCATTCACTCGGCCAGCATCTGAACATGGCAAGGTCAGACCGGGACCGGGACCGAGACGACAGCCAGCGCCAGTCAGATTGTCTATCCGGAGCATTGGCGCGTGCTCAGGCGATAGGCAAAATGATAAGCCGCAGTAGCAGCAGCAAACTTTTCCACCAGTACCCAGGGAACGCAGATAGCCAGAGCCAGCGGAGAGCAGATCTTTATACATTGATTAATTGCAAATATAGTCGGGTGATCTTTTCATAATTTAAACACACAAAATAATGTGTATAATATTGATTCTACTTTAGGGTCTGGCTTTCACACACGAGGAACGCCAGCAGTTGGGCATCCATGGCCTGCTGCCGTTTGTGGTGCGCGACGAGGAGGAGCAGACCAAGCATTGCCGCATCTTGCTCGACCGATTGGAGAACGACCTGGACAAGTATATGTACCTGATCAGTCTGTCGGAGCGCAACGAGCGCCTCTTCTACAAGGTGCTCAGCTCGGACATCGCTCACATGATGCCGCTGGTGTACACCCCAACTGTGGGCCTGGCCTGCCAGAAGTACAGCCTGATCTATCAGAACGCCAAGGGCATGTACATATCGATCAAGGACAAGGGCCACGTATACGATGTGCTCAAGAACTGGCCGGAAACGGATGTGCGCGCCATTGTGGTGACCGACGGTGAGCGTATACTGGGTCTGGGCGATCTCGGGGCCAATGGCATGGGCATTCCCGTGGGCAAGCTGTCGCTGTATACGGCTCTGGCCGGCATCAAGCCATCGCAGTGCCTGCCCATAACCCTGGACGTGGGCACGAACACCGAAAGCATTCTGGAGGATCCGCTGTATGTGGGCTTGCGCCAGAAGCGTCCCACCGGCGCCCTCTACGACGAGTTCATCGAAGAGTTCATGAAGGCGTGTGTGCGTCGCTTTGGCCAGAACTGCCTCATCCAGTTCGAGGACTTTGCCAACGCGAATGCCTTCCGTCTGCTGTCCAAGTACCGCGACTCGTATTGCACCTTCAACGATGACATTCAGGGCACCGCCTCGGTGGCCGTCGCCGGTCTCTTGGCCTCGCTGAAGATCAAGAAGACCTCGCTGAAGGACAATGTGCTGCTGTTCCTGGGCGCTGGCGAGGCAGCGCTCGGCATTGCCACCCTCTGCACCATGGCCATGAAGGCCGAAGGTCTCACCGACGAGGAGGCCAAGGCTCGCATCTGGATGGTGGACAGGTAAGATAAACATAATCTCCATTCCGCATCCGCCCATAAAAGCTAACTGTTCAATGTATTTCTAGCCGTGGCGTCATTGTGCGTGACCGTCCAAAGGGCGGCCTCACGGAGCACAAGCTGCACTTTGCCCAGACACACGATCCGATCGATACCCTGGAGGAGGCTGTGCGTCGCGTGCGTCCCAATGTGCTGATTGGCGCTGCCGCCCAAGGCGGAGCCTTCACCAAGGAGATCCTGGAGAAGATGGCCGAGATCAACGAGACGCCCATCATCTTCGCCCTATCGAACCCCACCAGCAAGGCCGAGTGCACTGCCGAGGAGGCCTACACACACACCCAGGGCAAGTGCATTTTCGCATCTGGATCACCGTTCCCCCCCGTGACATACAACGGGCGCAAGTTCTATCCGGGCCAGGGCAACAACTCGTACATCTTTCCGGGCGTGGCTCTCGGCGTGCTGTGCGCCGGCATGCTGACCATTCCCGAGGAGGTGTTCCTCACCTCGGCCGAGCGCCTCGCTGAGCTGGTCTCCAAGGAGGATTTGAACAGGGGCAGTCTCTACCCCCCTCTAAGCTCCATCGTCAACTGCTCGGTAGCCATTGCCGAGAGGATTGTGGAATATGCCTACAAGAACGGTCTGGCCACCGTCTATCCCGAGCCCGTCAACAAGATCGCGTTCATCAAGGCGCAAATGTACGATCTGGACTATCCCCGTGCCGTGCCTGCCACCTACCACTTGTAAATGGAAGTACCCCCAGAACCCGACCCCAGCCCCCGCCCCCCCCCCACAGCTGTGGCATGGCAGCGCGTACTTTCCATTCCACTGAGCGGGCACGAGCAGAAACCATGTTATTTATTATATAAAGTCGCACATCTGTCTAGCAAATAGCCAAATTGTACCACGCCTATCCACACCTGTATGTCTGCATGTATGCGCCCACTGGATCCTAAAGCTCCTGGACACAGAAGAAACTTGGAGGGGAATACGAATGCGTTTACCAACTCCAATTAACAATTTTTATGATGTTGATTTTATGTAAATGGGATATTGATCTAATAGATATGTAAACAAATTCTATGTAATCTTGAAAAACACAAACTATGCTAAGTACCTACAAATAAAATATATAAAAAAGAAGATATGGTAGTCCGAGGATCTTTGCCAAAAACTCAGTGCCAAGTCAGTATTTGTTGTAGTATGACAAAAGAGCGGGGGAAACGTCTTGTTTAAAACTCTGCTATCGATGCATTCAGTGCATTCGAGTGCTTTTGCAAGCTTCTGTTGGCCAGCCGCAGAATCAGTCAGTAGGATAACATGATTAAATAACGGCCCATTTGATACTTCCAAACATTTGTACTTCCTAGGTGTAGTTACGGTATATTTAGAAAAGAGAAGGTATATTTCTGAGGGTCAGGGCGGTATATTTGATCGCTAAATCCGCGGTCACACTAATACGCACATTTAATCGTAAAATGCAATTTCAAAGACTAGAAAGTTTAGAAAATCAACAAAACGGCTAAAATGCAAGAGCTCAAGGTACGTCAACATGTAGGGATCAGCTGCACTCATACTGTATACTGATAAGTGTGGTCTTAATTCGATTTCAGCAACGTTTTGAGCGTCGCCAGATAGTGGATGGATTGAAGCAGAAACAGGTGAGTGCCGTGCACAAAACGCATGCTATTAATAATTCTCAAACGCGCACTGCGTAACACACAGGTAATACAGGACTGTCTGCTGCAGAGGATACTCTACTCGAAGCGCCTGCTAGTCGACCACGTCGAGGCGCTCGAGCAATGCATGCAGGATCTGCAATCCTCGGCGGCGGCCAACCGGCCCGGCTGGCAGCTGCTGAGTGCGCGGAATGTCTGCCTGCTGCTGGGCGGCACACTGCTGGAGCACTTTGTGACGCCGCGAAGGCTGCGACTGACCATGCTGCCCGCTATCCTGGTCACGGGCACCTTTACGGCCCTGTATGCCGTCAAGAGCGTCTTTGTGTGCCGCAACAAGATGGTGGAGCGCAAGCTGGAGCAGCTCGTGCGCACCATCGATGAGTTTGGCAATTGCATCAGGCGCAACATGACGTACTTTCAGGAGATTATCATCATGAAGCAGGCGGAACTAATTGAGTAAGCGGCAAATCCCATAAAATGGTCGAAATGGTTGGCTCATTCATTTGCATGCACAGATCGCGACAGATCGAGCGTGCCTGGGATTGCATAACGGCGGCCAAAGAGGTGACGGAAATACTCTACGATGCGACGCGCAAGCTGGAGACGGACTACCCCCTGCCCGCCAGATACGGCTCATACTATGCACCCATGGAGGAGCTGCGCGAGTGCGAGTACTTTAAGAACAATGTGACGGACTACAGTCCGAAGCACATAAAGGTAGGAACTTATTACACCCATGGACTTTCCAGTCTTATTGACCCCCAAACTCTGTGCAGGACTTCCACAACATCTTTGCCTATGTGCAGTCGCAGTATCTGCTCCGCCTGGCGCTGACCATCACGACGCGGCCGTCGATCTCCCAGCTCAGCGAGGAGCTGGTGAAAATCGATTGCCTGATGCGGCAGTTGGTGCAGGAGGAGGAGCAGCACTTCAGCAACCTGGCCGTTGCCATGCAGAACCGCAAACAACTGGAGCTGGCGGAGCTGCATGCGGCCAAGACAGAGCAGCAGCGAAGCGGCCCAATTGCAGTGCTGCAGCACTCCTCGCTGAAGCTGAGCGCGTGCATGGTGGCCGTGGCCGGCGAGTGCCAGGCCCTAGATATTACGCTGCAACAGCTGACGGCCACGGAGGCGGCACACAAGAATAATGCCAAAGCCCTTGTGGCCGTGGCCAGCAACATGCACGGCATCGAGAACAGCCTGGCCGCCTGCTGTGATGATTTCCAGCGCCTCATGCTGGTCTACAACAAGTTTCTGCACAGCAAGCTGGACGAGGAGGCAGACCCGCCCACGGCAGTTAGCGCTACGAAGCAGGACGATGAATTTCCCGACAGTATTTTGCGCGTTGAGTTCTCGCAGAACGAGGGCGAGACACAGCAGAAGGACGACTTCTATGCCTACATGTACGACGAGAACGAGGCGCAGCAGTACGAGGACGAACAGCAGGCGCCCCACCCCACGCCCGAGAAGGAGCTGCTCAACTTTGAGAAGCGCATTACGAAGGGCAAGTTCAAGCCGGTGTTGAAGCAGCTCAAGGATCGCATCGATCCCATACGCCAGGTCATGTTGGAGAAGGAGCGCCAGGTTCTCACCACCAAGGGCATCAACGTGGACGAGCTCTTTGGAATAATCATGCAAGGGGAACAACCTCAGCCTCAGCAGCAGGAGCGGGAGCAGCAGCAACAGCAACAGCAAGCGGACAATCGACTGACCGATGTAACTCCCGCAGAGCGCAGCAACTGTGATGATGGCACCGCCTCCGGCTCCGAGTCGGACTCTGCCGACGAACGCGACCTCAGGCAACGCAGCAAGCAGCACAAGGAGCGTGACAACTTTGCCGAGATGCGTCAGTTTCTGGCCCAGAAGCAGGCCATCAATCTGTTCAAGCTGGATGCCAGCCAGCTGCCCCGTCCCCCCGTCGCTGTCGAGGAGGACTTGCTGGAGAGCGAGTGCTAGAAAATGCGTTTGTATAGACCCCATTACTGGCAACCTCGCCCACTCCCCCCACAATCTCCGACGCATTAGACACTATTTGTATAAGCTTTTATCTAACCAATTTGTGAGATAAGCCGCGTGCCGAGCGTCTCCACCCCTCCTCCATGCTGCCGTTCAGTTGGTTCCTCTGTTTCCCCATTAAGCCCTTTACTTATGTAGATCCCCATTGCTGTAAAAACGAAAGCGCGGCAATAATAAACATTTGTAAGTAGATAAAAGTTGCGTGTACTGTTGAAATTGTTGTAGGAGTAGCATATACAAATTATTACTGCACTCTGTCCATCCTCTTTCCACCTAAGGTCCAATATTCTCGCTGTTTCCTCGCTCACTCCGCCAAAGGGCGCACATCGGACGAGAGAGAGCCACGGGATGAGCCTTTCTTTCAGCTGTAAGGGTATTACTGAACTTATACTCCTTTAATACCGGATAGGATTAATAATTCACCCACTCCGATCTGTTTCTTCGCTTATCTACCCTTTGGCAATGGCAATAGACTGAATTTTATTTGAATATTGTTTATTAAATGCTAATTTTCGAAACTTAAGTACAATACAAACATCGATGGCAGCACTAGACACTATAGGGAGTTGGGTTGGGTTGGGTTTGCTGTTGGGAGCTCCCACTGGGGGGGATTACATACATATGTACAGGATAGCACGATAGCACACAAAGTCTTTTCGGTTTGGGTTTAGGGGGGGCGGGGGCTTAAGTGGCAGAAACACTTTCGTGGACATCTTTGGCTCGAAATGCGTGCAGCTATGTAGGGGATCAACCGGATCCTGACTAATGCTCATCCCATCCGGGACTTGGCTCAGGCATTGGCTGCACCTGTGGTGCCGGCACTGGCGGCATTGTTGAACTTGCTGGCCACCGATGCGGGCTGCAGCTGCGAGAAGGCGGACAGGTTGCTGCCCCTTACGCTGGTGTAGCGTATGGGCTGGACCCCGTAGTCGCTGCCCTTGAGGCGGCGTCGCACGCAGACAACAATGAAGCCAATAATCAGGCCGAGCACCACCACCACGCTGGCAATGATGGCGGTGAGAACGACGTAGCGGCGTCGCAGGAAGCGCGGTGGTTCCTCGTCCACGGCGCGATACTTCTTCGGTATGACCATGCTGCAGATGTGCTGGGACGTCAGGTTGGAGAGCGGAGCTCCAGCCAACAGATAGGGCGTGTCGCAGCGGGCCTCCGCTCCGCCGGCTGACTGCTCGACGCGCGGCATTCCGACCAGCTCGAGGGCCTGCATCAGGTCGCAGCTGCAGTACCAGGGATTGCCCGCAATGGCCACACTGCGCAGCCGTGGCCAGGCTCCCGCCCCACCGCTGCTGCTGTTGCTGCTGCTCACGTTAAGCGTGAGAGAGTTCAGTGCGTTGTGGGAGATGTCCAGCTGCGACAGACCGCGGCTGGCAAGCAAATCGTTTAGCTCCAGCAGCTCCAGCTTGGGATTTCTGGCGCACTCGAGCTGCTCCAGTGCCGGCAGAGCCAGGGCGCCGCCGGCCAATGGTGCGCAAGTTGGGCAGATCGCTGATATTGAGCCGACGCAGTGCCTCCAGCTTTTGGAAACTCGTCGCATTCAGGCTGGCGAACGGATTTCCCGCCAGATTCAGCTGCACCAGAGACTTGCCCAGCTGCTGGATGCTGGGCGGGACCACGGTGAACTCGTTGCCGGACACATCCAGAACGCGCAGGCTGCCTAGCTGGGCGAACAGCTCGCTGGGCAGACTCATCAGTCCGTTGTGCGCCAGATCCAGGCGCTGCAGCGTCGTCACCGAGCCCAGTGCCGCTGTGGTGGCAGCGTCCAGCACGCTCAGTCGATTGTAGGCCAGGTTCAGCTTGAGCAGCTGCGGGGTGTGCTCGAAGAGTTTGCGATACAGCAGCGTGATGCGGTTGTGGCTTAGATCCAGATCCTTGAGGCCAATCGGCTCGTACTTGGTGCTCTTGAAGGGACCGCGGAACAGCTCCGGCGTCAGCGCATCCTCGGCGATCTCGTTCCAGCTCAGATAGAGCGCCTCTACGTTGGGCACATCCATGAAGAGTGGCGCCTGCAGCTGCTGCAGGCCGCAGTGGCGACAGGACAGCGTCAGCGTCGCATTCGTCGCTGGCAGCTGCTGCAGCAGTCGGATGCGATTGCCCGAGTACGTGGCCACAATCTCCGTGCCCGTCGACTGGGTGCCAAATTCGGTGGGCCAACGGGGCAGGATGTGCTCAAAGTTCTTCATGTCGCAGTTGAGGGTCTGGTGGAGGCGATGATTGCTGTCCTGGTTGCTCAGGCACACGCATGTCTGGCAGATGTTCGTCACTGCCTGGTAGGGAATGTCCTCGTGCTGCCCATGGGCGAATGTCAGGAGTAACGCTGTCCAAGTAAGTAGCTGCAAGCATCGAAAGTAGTTAATGTTCAGAAAATACACAAATATCGTTAATTAATGGCAAGTTTATTGCATTTGAAGATTCTTTTACGGAACAGGTCGTTAAATTCATGCGTTGGCCAACACTGAATCTCCTCATTAAACGGAGGTGGCAACGCCTCAAATAACTGTTATTTGAACATGCTTAGAACATGCTTCTTGAAATCAAACGTTTACAGCACCAACAGAAATATTTGGTAAAAATATCGCGATTGATTATTCTGAAAGGTTATTGACATAATTCTTTGTTCAAGCTTTTTTCATGTTTTTTTAAATGCCATATAATATCATAAATTTGTTGTTTATCGAAATAGGAGTATGTACATATGTACAAAGAGCCCTACTTGGTTCCAGGAAGCGAATACAACTCGTTGAGGAAGTCAGGCTAAAGAGTACGTGCTCTCATCATTAGCGAAGATAGACCCGAGAGCTTGAGCTGGCCATGAATGTTTACACTACTTCAGATTCCGTTTTTGAATTGGTTCTCATATGTCACGATTCTAAGTGCACTTGCCATGCCATGCACACACCCATGCGAAAGTACTTTCAAGACCAGTTGGATTGGCGCCATATATATATTTTTTTATTTAATTTATGCAAGTAAATTTAAGCAGAAACTCTCCATGTTTTCCGGATTTAAATTGTCCATTATTTTTAATTTAAACGTTCTTATAGGGAAAAATAATCGCAACAATAAATAGGAAAATTGTGTGAATCCAAAATAGATTTGAAAATTTTATCAGTAGAAAAGTTTGCACATGTGCAGTCAGTAATTAATTTGCCCAGTCAAGATTAAAGTAAACAACATTGTTGTTTATACAAAATGGTAAAAATATAATTAAAGCAAACGAATTTGCAATCTGCTGCTTTAAGCAAATTATGTTTACTGTTACGAGTCTTTCTTGGCATGACTAATTGATCAATTCGATGCGTTGATTAAGGGCATAGAACGAGGTACAAAATATTAAATAATTTTTTCTTTTCTTTTTTAACTGCAAGAAATAAAACCTCTCTAATCTATAAAGAATATATTTAGAAGAAGTTTTGGCCGTAAACTATAGATACAATTCTCCCAAAGGTAAACCTCTTTTGTCTCAAATAACTGACAAATAATTCTAATATTTTTTGAACCTATTTCTGTTCTTTAATTTCTAATGAAAATCTCTGGTCAAACATATTTTGATGCTTCTCAGCTGGAATTGGTCTGGTATTGGATTTGTTTTTACAATCACATTCCAATGGTTGTTCTCTGATAATATTTTTCCGACACCAACTGAAACAACTTCAACAAAGAGGCAAGCGCTAGAAGATCAAGAGACCGATGGGCTGATGAGCAGATGCTTGCTTGCCCCCCAACGAAAAAAGAGCTCAGCCATTTGCTCCATAAAAAGGTCTCCCCCTCACCAGAGCCCAATGACACACATCGGACACATTGAGCATGCACAAATATTATATTGGAAGTATTTCTCAACTGAACGCTCCTCACCCATACGCATACGCACTCATTATTTCCTTGCTACTATCTGAACCGAAACACAGCGGGCCAAAAGTATTTCAGATAAGATAGCGATAATGTTTGGCTGGCCTGAAAATAATTTACTCACCAACAGCAGAAATTTGTGCTTCATCGTTGTATTTTTGTTGTATTATATTTCCTATCCTTCTGTTTTCTGTTATCGTATCCAAATCTCGGATCAGAGCAGCGCAACTATTTTTTAGAATGCACAAAACTGTTCTTTTAAATGCACTTTTTTTTTGTATTTATTAAATTCACTTTTCTGCAAGTATTCTCATTACGAGCAGCCAGACAGACAGACAGACAGACGACCGCTTGCCTCGGGAAATATAACTAAATTAATGAATCAAGCCCACCGCCATGGGGACGTTGGCATTATTTGTTTTGATTAGATATCGCTGTGCTGTGGCTCTCTCTTTCGAGTGTGCTCTCTTTGGCTCTCTGCTAAATCATCAAAGTAAAAGTGAATTCTAATTGAGTCATCGACTGGGCTTCTGTTTTGGTTCTACCTCGATCTCTGCCCCTTTCTTTCTTGCTGTCGAGCAAGGTCGTCAGTTTCGCTGCTGTTGTGTTTTGTTGGTTTGGGTCTCTTGGCCAGCTGCTGGCAACGGAGTGGCTCGGAGCTCGAAGCGGTGCAGCACTCCAAAACTCTCTTCGTGGAGATTGTAGGCAGATAAGATAACGGACCATGGGACTATGTGGCAACCAGCAAATGGCGTTGGACTCGAATTCGGCTCTGGGCTCCGTTGACTCAGCTGCGCGGAGTCTTCGACTCTTGATTCAGTACACATACATATGCACATATATGACTATGTACATATGTATGTATGGGAGAACGAACAGAGTCCAATTAGATGCAAGTGTCACTTGGTTTCATTGAACTTGTTGTTGGATACACTGCCATGAATACAATCCATGAATTGAGTTGTTCCCCGAACACACACACGCAAATTGAATCCGACACAGCACTAAGGAGGGCGGGGGAGGGAAAAAGCAAACAAGAGATCTTGTGGCACTGGGAAATTGGTTGCATAAACATTGCGGCCAGACGGACGAACGAACGGACAGCCTGGCCTGGGCCCTGGGCCTGTTGTATACACTCCACACACACACACACACACACACACAGGCACACATACACTTGTGAGTCACGTTCGGCCGCAGCATGTACAAGATTTGATCTCTGTCCGCCCCGCCATTTGCCAAACAATTTGCCTTTTCTTTCAACTAGCCGCTGTGAGAGGAATTGCAATCATCAGGCCAGAGTTCCATCTACTTAATAGTATTTAAGTCTATGCTTAATAGAGTAATTGAGGCTTTTGCATATTTTTGTGAACTGCACGCGACCCGCAACCTGCAACCGCACATAAAACAACCAAACACAGCAAACACACACGCGATGCGACGCGACGTTTGCCTTTCAGTCTGCAAACGAAACCCGTTTGCTGTTTGTGGCTGCTGCTATTGTTGTGGCTGGTTACGGTATTAATGTTGCACTTTTGCAGCTGCCGTACTGATGCTCATCCTCAGCCTCAGCCTCGCATCTTAAATCAACGCGTTGCGGCGGCCAGAAACTGAAAGCGGAAACTCTCGGCAGAACGACGGGACGGGCGATCTCTACCTGCCTGTTGCTCAAATCGAACTGAACGAAACTGGAATTGTGCTGTGGCAGTGGCAAAGGCAAAGTCATTCTGCGGATCATGATTCCCGTTCCCACAAGCTGGACTCGGCCACCCTGCCCCTTCCCCTGCCACGCCTCCACTCCACTCCACGAAGGCACTGCCAAACCGGTCGGTTGTTGGCCGAATTTGAAGCCGAGACTGTAGCGCACTGCCAGAGTCCACATTTCATTGGATTAATATTAATGGCTGGCAGCTGCGCCGTAAATGTCACGGCTCCACGGCACAGAGGAGGTGGTGCACTGTGCACTGTGCACTGTGCAGCGGCAGCCAGGAAGCAGCGGAAACAAACCACTGTCCGTCCGAGCTGGTCGTGCAGAGCTCGTTAGGGCAGCCCATTTCCTGGGCGGCAACTTTAAAGAGAGAGAGAGAGACGACCGATTTTGGTAATTAGAAAGAAACATTTATACGATAAAAACGAATGGGATGGGATGGGGATCCAAAGCTGTGCGTGTGCGTGGCCTATCTAGAATGCATATAGTAGTCGATGGCCGTGGAGAAGGCCGCAAAGCCCAGGCCGCCAATGACGCCAGCCTTGATGCCGGCGCGCAGACCAATCAGACCGCCGGTGATGCCGCCAGCGTAGGTGCCGTTGCGCCAGTCGGTGACGCCACGTTTCTGCAGTTAAACGGATTAAAATTGATCTCTGATGCAAAACTGCATTCTCTGCTGACTTACACTCTCAATCGCGCACTCGACTACGGAGAAGACTGCACCAATTAGGGCGAAATTCTTGGCATAGGAGTGCGTGGTGGCTCGCATTTCCCGGAACACCTCGCGGGCTGTTTGCTTCTTCTCGTTGGCAAACGGATCGGCCATACTGGGATTAACGGAGGCACTGAACAGACCAAGGGCAGCGCCAAGACCATATCCTAGACACAAGGATGCATAAAGCAAATCAATAAAATATTATCTGCAGCGAGGGGGAGAGAGATCCTCACCCATAACGCATGCCATTGCACATTTGAAGCCGCAGCTCTCCACAGCCGTCTCGATTAGCTTCTCCTCGTTCGTCTTGATCTTCACCGGCCCCATGCTCCTGGGTATTATAATGTTCTCGCGGTATCGCTGCATGTCCCCCACAAACTGAATGGCCAGCTTGTCAAGGTCCGCGTTGTCAAAAAGACGTGGCGCGGCCGCCTGAGCGGGCTTGTCTGTGGAATTTGGCAGCATGGACATCTCTGTCTATCAATAATTGCTTTTATTTCTATTCAGAAATTGTAGTTTTGTTACAAATCAAAATGTGCTGAGTAAAAAAAAACTGAAATTGTTATCACATCGCCCAACAGATGTTTTCCAGAGTTGCCACACAGACACACTCGGAACTATCGTCTTATCGACACACAAACAAATTTCGCTAGTGGTGGTATTTTTATAGGTACCAGCCAGCTTATTTATGGTGGTATTACACTAGACATGCTGAAAATCGAATATAGACTGAAAGACAGAGATAGAGAACGCATGTTAAAATATACCGTTACACGAGATTTGTTACTGAAGAGTAATTATTCATGTTTAATAAGGTTAATATAATTATATGAAAACTTGATTGCCCCCACCGATGTCAGTTCTATATCTCCATTATCCCTACTGGAAATTCTTATATTACATTTTATTGCTATCACAAGTTAATTATACACATATACCATCGGGGGAAATAAACGAAAATTGCAAAATGTCTGCAGTGGAGTTGAATGCAAGCTCTATCTTTGGATTGTCCAAGTCGATGCGACGCTAATTGAAGCCGTAGATCAAGAGCAGAATCACGCAGACTGCCACTACCGCGCCCAGAATAAGCGAATCGCGTCGCTTCTTGATATTGATGCGCTGAATGAGACTGACAAAAAAAGAGAATACATCGTTTTATATGCTCTATAATCTGTGGCACAACAGGTACTAGGGTTACCTGGAAATCAATGGGAATCGATTCGAGATGTCATTGAATCGCGTCTGTAGCCGCTTGAAGGACTGGCGCTGGGCGTGCAGATTGTCCCGCGTTTCGATGGCTATGTTGATCTGATCGTTCACCAGGTGACTGGCGCTGCTCAGGTGCCCGGTCTCCTTCATGTACATCTCGCGACGACTAAGCCCCGATATTGAGGGGCTGCCAGAAGTGGTCAGGCCGGAGCCGCGTAGAAGTTCCTCCCGCTCGATGCGCACCGTGTGATTGGCACATATTTTATTGAACTCCTGCCTGTAGCCGTGCAGGATCTCCCTATGCCGTTGCAGGGTGTGCATGGCGGCCGCACCTGTTGCGGGCAGGTCCGACATCGACTCATTAAGAGTCGACAGCTGCGGATGGGACGCAGAAGGGGATGAATGCAAGTCGGGGGGAGGACTCAATCACCAGGGATTCCTACCTTCTCCAGCATCTGCTCGATTTCCTCGGACAGCGAGTCGAAGACATGGTCCCCAAGCAGAGGTGATGTGTCAGCGCTGCCGCCGCTGCTATTGCTGTTGCCTCCGCTGCCAGCACCAATTTTACTGAACGCCACCAGCTTCAAGTCGATTTCGTTTTCCAGTGTGCGCGCCTGCTTCCGCAGCACTGTTCAATGAGTTGGGAGAGGGACAGATGAGACAGTTTGTAAATGGTGTACATAACAAGATTACCATCATAGCTGGAGCTGCCCATTTATTTTTGTCGGTAAAAAATTATTTGGGGCCTTTTGTGTGACAATCAGTGTGACCGCTTATGGTATTTTTGATGCCAAAATTGAGCAAAAAGTATTTTATTTTATCGTGGTATATACTGGTATTTTTAAACAACGTCCTGGTATATACTGGTATTTTTCAAGTTGGTCACTTTATTTGATCTTGAGCTAATATTGGTGGGTTTTCAAAATTTTCCCTCTTTTTCGTGGTGAAGAGCGCTTTTCGTGGTTGGTAATATTAAACTAAATATCAAAATCATGGAATACGATTTCAATCAATAAAATATAACGTTATCCCATTGTCGACCAGGGAGGTATTTAATATATGCACGAAATTCATGTAACTTTAAAATATTTTACGAATTACAGAAGAAAGAGGAGGATGGAGCTACAAGGAGCCTTTACAAACAGTTTTTTTTCCGCTGTTTAACAAAGGCTTCTCAAAGGCTTTTTAAATAGAGGGGTGTTAAGTGGGTTAAGTCTCGTTTGATAGCCGGACTGCCTTGGTTTTTTTATGGTATGGTATTTAAATGGTATTGCTTGAAACTGCAATGGTATTTATTTTTTGGCCGGATGGTATTTCTTATCGTTATCGTCACGGTCACGCAGTTTCTCTTCCCGGCTATTTGCGAATCGAAATTTTTTCCAAAACAAACCAAAAAAAGAAAATGTCACAGGCTACGAACGATGTCCGCGTGCCGGACGAGGAGAGCGATTTGCTGCAAATCAAACCGCTGTAAGCAGAACGGGGATATTGCCGTGGAAGTGGGAAAACTAAGCAAACAAAAATGTGCATTCTTTTCAGTGGCGCCGGTCAGGAAGTGGGTCGCTCCTGCATCATGCTGGAGTTCAAGGGAAAGAAGATCATGCTCGACTGCGGCATCCACCCCGGCCTGTCCGGTATGGATGCGCTGCCCTATGTGGACTTGATCGAGGCGGATGAGATCGATCTGCTGTTCATTTCACAGTGCGTGCCACGGCAAGATATTTAAGTGGGTCGAATGTGCTCTCTAAACCACTCTCTGAATTGCAGCTTCCATTTGGATCACTGTGGCGCCCTGCCCTGGTTCCTGATGAAGACTAGCTTCAGGGGGCGATGCTTCATGACGCACGCCACCAAGGCCATTTACCGCTGGATGCTCTCGGATTACATCAAAATCAGCAACATATCCACGGAGCAGATGCTCTACACAGAGGCCGACCTTGAGGCATCGATGGAGAAAATCGAGACAATTAATTTTCACGAGGAGCGCGATGTCATGGGCGTCCGTTTTTGCGCCTACAATGCGGGCCATGTGCTGGGCGCGGCCATGTTTATGATTGAAATTGCGGGCATTAAGATTCTATACACTGGCGACTTCTCGCGCCAAGAGGATCGCCACTTGATGGCCGCCGAGGTGCCCCCAATGAAGCCCGATGTCCTCATCACCGAGTCCACCTACGGCACGCACATCCACGAGAAGCGCGAAGATCGCGAGAATCGTTTCACATCGCTGGTGCAGAAGACCGTGCTGCAGGGAGGTCGCTGCCTGATTCCCGTCTTCGCCCTGGGCCGAGCCCAGGAGTTGCTGTTGATTTTGGACGAGTTCTGGTCGCAGAATCCCGAACTGCACGAGATACCCATCTACTATGCCTCGTCGCTGGCCAAAAAGTGCATGGCCGTCTATCAAACGTACATAAACGCGATGAATGACCGAATCCGGCGGCAGATAGCCGTCAACAATCCCTTTGTCTTTCGTCACATTTCCAACCTGAAGGGCATCGATCACTTCGAGGACATTGGGCCGTGTGTGATTATGGCATCGCCCGGCATGATGCAGTCCGGGCTGTCGCGTGAGCTGTTCGAGAGCTGGTGCACAGATCCCAAGAACGGCGTCATCATTGCCGGCTACTGTGTGGAGGGCACTCTGGCGAAGACCATACTCTCGGAGCCGGAGGAGATTACGACGAGCTCGGGCCAGAAGCTGCCGCTCAATATGTCCGTGGACTACATCTCTTTCTCCGCGCACACGGACTACCAGCAGACGAGCGAATTTATACGGCCTGCTGCGGCCCACCCATGTGGTGCTCGTCCATGGGGAACAGAACGAAATGTCGCGCCTAAAGCTGGCCCTGCAGCGCGAGTACGAGGCGGATGCCAGCACCGACATCAAGTTTTACAATCCCCGCAACACACATGCCGTCGATCTGTATTTCCGGGGCGAGAAGACGGCCAAGGTGATGGGCAATCTGGCGGCCAAGAGTCCCGAGGTTGGGAGCAAGCTCTCCGGCGTGCTGGTGAAGCGTGACTTTAAGTATCATCTTCTGGCGCCCTCCGATCTGGGCAAGTATACGGACATGAGCATGTCGGTGGTGACGCAACGCCAGTCGATTCCCTGGGGCAGTTCCCTGGGCACCCTGGAGCTGCTGCTGGATCGCATTGGCGCCGGCTGTGTGGATGTGGTGGAGCCCGAGCGCAAGCTGCGCGTCTTCAACTGCATTGAGCTGACCGTCGAGCAGAAGATCATTGTCATGGAGTGGCAGGCAACGCATGTGAACGATGTCTACGCCGATGCGGTGCTCGCGTGCATCATGCAGTCCGAGCTGGGCGGCACAAGCCTCAAAGGCGCCACCAAGCAAACCAAGTCGGAGAATTCACGCTTCCGCGAATGCCTCATCGAGACGCTGCAGGATACCTTCGGCGATAGCTGTGTGCCAAAGATGTTCAAGGGTGATCTCCTCCCAGTGACTGTCAGTGGGAAGCGTGCGGAAATTAATCTGGAGACTCTGGTGAGTGCATCCATCGTTGATGGAATGGCATCCTGGGAATCGTTTTATTACTTTCTGTTTCCCCCATTTTCAAGGCTGTTAATTGTGCCGAAGATGACATCCTGCGCCAAATGCTCAACACAACAGTCCATAAGCTGCACCAGACCCTGGTCTCCGCCCACTAATTAACCCGTTCCCATTCCCCCTCCGATTCCCAAACGAATAAATGTTTTGAATGTGCGAATGTTCTTTTTTTATTCGTTTTCCAGTCAAAATAAAAATAAAAAGTATAAGCGGCGGCGGCGGCTGTTAGCGCTGTGTGCTCTTGGCAATCTGCTCCTTGAGCATCAGAATGCTGGCCCGCTGCTCCGACGGCAGCTGGGCGATCTGCTCGTCGGACAACTGCAGCACCTGCATGATGAGGGCGGCCTTGTCCTGGTCGGAGGCGTCCGAGGGCAGGACCCCATGGGCGCCCAGACGGCTCTGCAGCTGCTGGGCTGCGTTTTGCTGCTGCTGTGTTGGCGGCGGCACCTGTGGCGCCACTTGCTGCGGCGGCTGGACGGGTCCGGCACGCAGGCGCGGATCCATCGGCCGTTGGCGTGGATCGCTTGGGTACGGAGCTGGCGCCGAGGCAGGGCCTTGCTGCTGAGCCGGCATTTGGGCGCGCGTCCGGGGATCCATTAGTGGTGGTGGCACCGGATTCGGCATCACCTGGCGCATGTCCTGGTCCAGGTTGCGGGCCATCATGCGCGGATCCATCGGCATGGGCCCGCTGGGACCCATGCGCAGATCAATGTCGTTGGAGTGCACATTATTGAAGTTCGGGCCGGGCACCGGCATCGGCTGCATCGGTCCGGGACCACTCACGGGGCCAGACTGTGTCGGCTGCTGCTGTGGAATCTGCTGTTGCTGCTGCTGCTGAGCCATGGACATGCCACTGGGAGCATTCGGATGGGCACTGCCCCCCAGCACGGGCGGCATCTGGTTGGCCTTGAAGAGCATGCCCAGCGCTTGCTGCGGATCGACGATGCGCATCACCACCATCGCCTGCAGCAGGGCATAGGCCAGTTGGGGGTTGAGCATGAGCATTTGCCGTGCCTCGGATGGATTGCTGACAATGCAGAGCTTCATCTGCTTCATCAGCTCGTACATCTGCTCTGGCGGCAGCGAAGCAACCGTCTTCGTAATCAACTCGGGTGCGTCCTCGGGCTCGCAGGACTCCCCGTATGGATTCTCGACTTGGGGGCCTTGCAGCAGCTGCTGCATCTCCATTCGGGACTTCTCCGTACAGGCGTTGTCCACACGCAACGTCCGTCCGCCGATCTCGTAGCCATTGAGGTTGCGCATGGCGCTCAGCGCGGTCTCCTGATCCTTGTACTCGCAAAAGCCGAATCCCTTCGGCTTTCCGCTCTCCCGATCAAACACGAGCCTGCAATTGAAGGCATTAATATCATATGCAATACATACAGATGGATTCCCGGCTTACTTCAGTGACAAAACCGGGCCGACTTCGCTGAAAATCTCCTTGAGCTTCTCTTCCGTCGCCTCGTATGGGATGTTGCCCACGAATACTGAGCGCATGGACTTGTCCATGATGCTCTGTTCCTGTAATTTGTCCGCCATTGTTTCGTTTTTGGCTGGTATATGCTTCGCAAAAGAATTTAATTAACAAATCGTCGAATTAACAAATAAATTTCCCTCTTCTTCTTCTTCTTCTTCTTGCGGCGACGCAGGGTTGCTACCGAAAAAGTGTTATCAAGCGCCAACTGGTAGCGCAGCTGGCATACGTTTTGCAGCACTCCAACGCCTGGTGTTGTAATTTTTCTTGTCGCAAGGTGAAAACGAATTAAACGGCTATTTAATAGTGAAAAGTGAACAAATATGCTTGAATCGAACACCTAAACGTAGCCGATTGAGCCGTTTATCGGTACTCCATAAAGGCTCGTTGAGAATCCTAGCGCAACTGCATGAAAAACGGGCCTGAAAATTTTACTTTGTGTGTAGCCGAGGCCCATACGCACACACAAACCCACACACACACAACATACACACACTCACACATATGGAGATAAACGCAGCGATGGCCTCGCATTCGCAGCATATATAAAAGCTCAGTTGTATATTGGAGAAGGAGCGCACAAAGCAGAAGACGAGAAGAAAGATTTCTGTGTCATTGAACGAGGCGACGGCGACGACCAGGCAGCCAGACCAAGGAATCAACTCCTCCTCCTTCCCTAGGAGCAGGCTGCAGGTGCATAACTTTTCAAGGATACCCAGCCAGCCAGCTCTGCTAAGATCGATATAGCAGCAATTAGTACTCGCCTTAGTAGTTGTGGTGTAGTGTTGTATTCCTTTTACGCTGTTTTCTGGGTACATAATAGACCGGACCGTCGAATCCCATACCCATAGAATCAACAAAATCAATGCAACGAAAAGTGAACAGCGGAAATATGTATTTTCCAAATTGTGTCTACATTTGGTGCGTGCTGCGAGTGTGTGTGTACAATCATAATAAAAAAAAAAATAAAAAAACGCAGTGAAACGCGTTCTGCGCGTGTGAAAAATTAAAGCAACAGCAAAAAACAAAAAAAAAAAGAGACATTAAGCCAGTGGCAAGATCACAGACAGACACACAAAAGAGCACACAGAGGGAACACACACTCTCTCACACACACACACATAGTACCACAGCAGTCTGCACCCAGCAGAAAAAGGTTCGACGACAAACCCCAGGCAGCAGCAGACGCCTCTGCTCTGCTCTGACGGCTCGGTTCGGTTCGGTTCGGTTGGGCTGTCTTTGTTGAATTAGTTTTAAGTGCATTCATCATTAATTTAGTGGTCGCCCGCACCGGTTTCCAGGCTGGGGATACTCTTACGCACTTTTTGCTGCCGTTTTTTTTTTGTTCAAAGTGTGTGTAACCTTTGCAAAGGAAAAATCAATAGCAACAGACGTAGACATTTATTTGCCCCTGTTTATGCGAGTATATGTGCAGCCCTTGGCGTCCCGTCCTCTGTCCTACTCCTTCCTCCTGCCATTGGCCGGGACCAGCAACAGCAACCCTTGCAGAACCACAAGTAGACCCCCAGTTCGAGACCCCGTTCTCAGATAACAATGCATATTTAACTGCACCGGAAAAATGAGCAAATATTATAAATAAAAGCAAAAGTTCCCAGACCACAAGTGCAGCCAAAACGACAGCAATCGTCACAGTTGGGCCGGGTCGTTGCCTCAGACTCTGACGCTGCCCATCGACATCCTCGGCCGTTCGCCCTGCCGTCATCGTTGCCCCGTTCATTGAGCAAAAAAGCTGTTCCAGAAGTTGTCGGCCACATCTCTGGTTGGCATTCCGATTCCAATCGACCATTTCTGACTTGCGTCCAGCTTGCGCATGGCAGCCCTTGTACCTCTACTCTACTCTCTACTGCTGCTCTCATCCCATGCGACCCGGTGTCATGTCTCATGTCCACACAATGGACTGACCAACGAATACTCAACAAAAATCCAAATTCTAAAACTACCTTCATTCGATCTGTGTAGAAATTTCCCTTGATTTTGGTTCATTATCTTCTAGGGACTTTTTTCTCAGAGAATTTCCTTTATCGACTTTTTATCACTATCATGATTATCATGACAGTGCTGTATGTTCAACCCTAAAATAATCTGGCGTTCGGGATTAGTCTCTAAAAACACCCACAAAAAATGAAGCTCAATAGGAATTTCGATGGGCTGCAACGACACAGATTTTCTTCCGATTAGTTTTTGAACAGATGTTTAGTTCAAGAGCAGAGCCTGGCCGGCCAAACAGCTGTTAATTTGGATAAAAGTACAACAAAAAAAGTGTCAAAAGTTTGTTTTAAAAATAAAATAAACAATTAAAAGTGATGCTTGGCTGTGAGGCATGCATGTTTCTCCAGGTTAAAGACTTTACACATTGGGTTGGAAATTCAAACAAGAGGCAACCGAATAGATTCAGTGTGATTCGGTATTCGATTTGTTCGGTCTGTTGGAATCAGTGTCTCAGCTTTCTCAATCAAACGATGCAAATACAGCCATTTTTTTACTGAATCAGATCCTAAAATTTCGATTTTTTTTTCTCGCTCACTACATTTGATTTTTCAGGCAGAGCGAACGAGAAAGCAGCACACAAATATGCTGATAGCAAGAGAATGCTTTGCGTCAAATAAAAGCATTAAAGTCGCCTGAGTATAGCTGTATGATGAACATACAGCTGAACATACATTTAAAGCTGATCTCACCTATCTTACAGTTAGTTCAAGTCTAGTGAAATATTCACCCTTTGGATATATTCAGGAAATAGAGATTTGGAAATTCCATTAACCGATTTTGTTTTACTATTATTACTATTATTAATTATCAAATATCAAAGAATGTTGACATTTTAATTTACTTAAGTAAACGCATGGTAGAACCTCGAAAGCATTCCTAGCTGGTGCAACCGAACACCTACAATACATTCCAAAGAAATTGTGCTCCACCAGTCAGTCAGTCAGTCCTTTCTTGCCACCTAACAGAATGTGTAATAGATGCAAATAGGTTTGGAAGGGTACTACTGATTGAGTTCCATGGAAACGGACTGACACATGGCAGAGCAAGTGCATACTTGGTCCGTTTCGGCCTTAGCTTATCTGAGATCTCAATTTCATGTGATTTCTGCAAGCTCAGCAGCCAGGGCCCTTTCTCCTGCTTGCTTACGCTCAATCACGCTTACGCAGATTACGCTTGTCGCATTCCCCGGGAAAAACGATCCGCCGCTGCCGCTGCCGCCGCCGCACATTCTTTGGATATCAGCTTACCGGAGGCCGCAGATATCCGACAACAGCTGGGGCTTGGGCTTGGTGGCATTGGTATTCTCGCTGTATGGATTGGCACTCACATTTCAATTTCTTTTCGCAGCTTGACCGACTCGCTCGCAGATCTCAAGGATTGAGCAAGATGGCTGCCACTACCGCCAAGCAAGCAGGACACACTGTTTTATGACTCTGAGGGGGAACCCAGAGAGCGAGAGAGCGATTAAGCGACGAGAGAGAGTCTAAGAGCGTCCCAGAGTGAATTAGCAGCCAGAGAGAGAGCAGGAAGAGACCCAAGGCCGCCATCATGGTCGACAGCGTGCAGTGCCCCGTGTGCACCTTGTACCTGCATGCGGGTATGAATCTCTCCGACCACCTGGAGACTCATCCCAAGGAGCAGGTCATCAAGGCGCTGGTGCAGATGACAATTGTGGGCAACACTGGCATGGGCAATGCCCTGGCGGCGGCCATGCTGGGCAATGGCTCATCAGCAGCATCAGGCGGTGCAGATGCCGGTGGCTCCGAAGACACCGCCGCCGCCGCCGCCTCCTCGGCATCGTCGCCATCTGTGGCTGATGTCAAACCAGTTGTTGTGGCCGCCAGCTCATCGGTAGCCAAACCCATAACATCAGCCTCGAATGCATCCACGGCGTCCCTGCAGCCGCCTCCACTCTCCTCCTCCTCAGCGAGCAATAGCTGTAGCAGCAGCAGCAGCAAATTGAGCAATCCACCGATGAAAGCACTGAAATGCGCACCGCCCACGACTGAGGCGCGAGCCAACAACACATCCAACAACGCACCCACCACAAACAGCGCAATGACCGCACTGTACCAGCCACCGCTGGTCACCACGGACTATCGCTACACTAATCAGCAGCAGACGAGCTTCGCGCGTGGTACCAGCACAGCCACAGCGACCGCCACTCTGGTGATACCACAGGTGCCCCAGCAGCACTTCCTCGCGAGCAGCCATCCCCCTCAGCAGCAGCAGCAGCAACAGACCCACTTTACCCATCAGCAGCAGCAGCAGCAGCAGCATCCTGGCCTGAAGTTTACCTATGCCACCACGCTGCCGCCCCCTCCGCCGCTGCAGGTGAGTGCCAGAAACATTGCCCTGAATGTTGCCCCTGAAAGTTTCAACTAAGTTCAAGTCCATTCCATTCCACCAGTCTCCCCTTTTAGTTGCATATTTTCAAGAAATTTTCAATTCGCAATCAAGAAATCAAGAAATATGGAAAAACCTTTACCCTTCCTTTGGGGAAGCATTTGATTCAAGAATATAATTTCGATGGCGTTTCTTTTAGACGCAAGTTCCCCCCAGACACAGTTCAGTTTGTACTTCAATGTCTTGGGAATGGTTTGCCTCCTGTCATTTGTAGTTCTCCTGAGATTCGCTCACACAAATTTTCCTTTTCTATTGGCAGCTCTTCACGCAGCAGCAGCAACAACAGCAGCAGCAGCAGACAGTAACGCAACCGCACCAGAAACCTCCTCCCGCCTATGGAGCCGCCATCAGTCAAATACGATCTCAGCACAACCAAAACAAGCAGCAACATCAGCAGCAGCACCAGCACCAGCAGCAGCAGCAACAGCAACAGCAGCAGCAACAACAGCAGCAGCAACATGTGACCGTTCATCATAACGTAACCCTGGCACCACCGTCGACGGCCCCAACAGCAACAGTAGCAGCAGCAGCTGCAGCAGTAGCTGGAGGCAAGCACACCGGCAAAGCACACACGGAAGTATTCCTGAATCCCCCACCACCGCCGCTGCCACCGCAGGCGCATGCGCAGCACCAGCAGAACCAGCATCATCATCACCACCAGCAACAGCAGGCACAGCAGTCATCGATGCCAGTGGCCCTTACAACTTCCGCCCCCAGACAGCAACAGCAGCAGCAGCAGCAGGCGGTGACATTGCAGGCTTACGGATCTGCTGCAGGCAGCTGCTCCACTTCCTCATCGACGACTGGTCGAGGGAGCCGTCAGACCAATTCTCCCTTTGGCGCATTGCTCAATGCGGCGGCGGCAGCTGCCAGCTCCTCGCCCTCGTCCGCGTCTGCATCGGCCGCCTCGGTGTTGCGTTATGCAGAGTCGCCAGTGGCGCATTATCTGGAGCGGGATAACGGGGACTTTATTGTCCAGGAGACGCCCAAGCATATTGTGGAGTGCGTTGAAAAGGAGGACGGCGAGTTCTCCGTGATCGAGCGCATCTACCAGTCGCCTCCCAGTGTTCTCCACATACACGACGACGACGAGGACGACGAAGATGACGAGGACGATGATGATGATGAGGAGAACGAGGCGGCACCGCAGGACGAGCACGATCATGTGGAGGATGGGGACGATGAGCGGGACGAGAACAGCCGCTGCCGCAACTTGACCAAAACAACGAAAAAGTCGCGCAAGACAAAGCCCAAGCGAACCTCCAAGAAAACCGCGCGGCAACATCTGTCGGACGAGGAGTTCATGAGCATCAGCAGCGGGTGCGAGAGCGACTCGGAGCCGGAGACGAAGATGGAGGTGCAGGCGGTGGTACCGCCTCCTCTGTGCACGGCCCCATCTACGAGCAGTGCAGCGGCGGCGGCGGCCGCAGTCGCCACCGCGTCCACCCTGGCCGATGGCCATTCGAACTCCACCTCGAACTCCAATTCGAACTCGAATGCCAAGTCCAAGAAGAACCGCATCACAGTGCTCAGCGATGTGCCGCTCAACATGAACGAGTACCTCGATCTGATGGGCAACATTGTGGCATCCAGTCGCATCGGCACCTCTCGGCCATTTGCCGCCGTGGCGCCCATTCCCCTGGTCAAGGTGGAGAAGGAGGAGCCCCTGGATGAGTACGACAATGCGGAGGGGCATATGTCGGATGCGACGGATCCCATGCTGCTGCTGGAGCATAAGCCCAGCTTGGAGCAGAGCTGTGGCACAACCAGCGTCATCCGCATGGCCAGCGCCATGTCGGCGGCCACGGAGGACTTCACCCAGCCGCCGCCCATGAAGGTCGAGGTTGAGGCCACGACGCTGCTACCTCAGCGGTTCTCGACTCCTGCCCAGCTTCGTGGACCCAAGAAATTAGTCATCAAACCAAAGGCCACGGCAACGGCAACGACGACGACGACAACAACAACAAAACAAAAGACTGACACCCCATCTTCCTCGAGCGCGGATCCTCCAGCATCCAACTGCACCTCCTCATCCATATCAAAATCCGCCACGGAGCTGGTTCACATTAAGAGCGAGATCACGGAGATGCCGTCGAGCAGCATACTGGAGAAGCATCTGACCACACGAAAGCACTCGACGGTCAACGATGACGATGCTCGGGTGCTGCTGGAGTTTGCCAATTCGAAGCAGCCGTCGACACTCGCAGGCACCGCCTCCAGCACCACCTTTGTGGTGAATGCCAATTCTGGTTTCCCCTCCGCGGGCTCTGTGTTTGCCAGCAGCACGGGCACGGGGGCGCCGAAGGCGGGCCCAGCCAAGCCGGGCGAGGAGTACATTCTGCCGGACAACAATCTGGAGGTGGACGAAATTGTGATATCCTCCTCGTCTTCCTACGCCTCATCCGTGGCGCAGGTGCATCCATCGCTGCCCGCATCGCTGCAGCCACCAGCAGCTGCCGCTTCCTTTAACGACTTCAATTTCCTGTACCACCAGACCACAACCACGGCCACAACGTCCGCGAACTGTGCCTACTTCACGCCCTTTGGCCGCCAACAACAGCAGCAGCAGCAGCAACATACGCAGCACGGAGTCAGCGATGCCACAAATGCAGCCACCTTGGCCTCCTCTTCCAGCAATTCCTCGGCGATGGATCACGACTCGATGAATGCCACGTTTCGGGTGGCCAAGACGCAGTCGCTGCAGTCCTGGTACCAGCCAGATCAAGATCACGATCCACAGAATCAGGCAGCAGCTGCAGCATCAGCAGTCGGAGCAGGAGCGGGAGCGGGAGCATCCTCCTCGAGCCAGAACCAGAACCATGAAGGGGCGCAGCCCACCAACTTCAATGCCGCATTGGCTGCAGTCGATTGCTGCAGTGTGGCCGTCGATGGGGATGTCAAGTATCTGGATTTGGACGCGTGCAAGCGGGAGCAGCTGAGCAGCAGCAGCAATCTGCCATCAGCATCCGCCTCCACATCGACAACATCTTCGTCGTTCGCTGGCGCGGCCACAGAGAGCAGCCTCGTGGGTGGGCTCAACATACGCACCGATGAGAAAATGCCCGCCAAGGGCGAAATCTCAGAGCAGGAGAGCAACTGTGACATCGAGAACTCGTGGAGTCAGTCGGTAAGTGCGCAGAGGAGGGTATCTTTCCCACAGATCAGTGAATGAATATATTTCTAATAAATTGTATGCATTTTTAGGTGTACGGCGACATATCACAGCGATACTTTAGGAATCAGTTCACTGGCGGCTACAATCCCGACTGGCGGCAAGACTACTATCCGGTGCAGGATCTCAGCGCTCAGCAGCGGGAGCACAAGCGGTAAGAGCAGCGTTTTGAATTGCTCGAGCCCATCATCCATAGCCAGATTACATATTCCGCTTGAAACTGTTTTTTTCGCAGATTCGATTTTAATGCTGTCGACGACGAGGCCTCCTCGAGCTCCAGAAAGAGTCATCTGATCGATGATCAGCCGGCAGCCACCACTTCCTCGACGTCTTCGGCATTGCTGGCTGGTCCACCAATCGCATCAACGTCCAGGGCTGCCGCTGAGGCGGCGGAGGCAGCAGCTTCGGCTGCTTTGGCGCAGCGCAAGCCGCATCGTCGCAAGCTCTACAAGTGTCCGCATTGCGAGGCCATCTTCGAGAAGCTGAAGGAGCGGAATGCGCACATGATTGGCGAGCACAACTATGTGCGTCAGAATCGACGTCTGATTTGCACACAGCCGCAGATCGGTGATGCATCGATGTTGCCCCCACCACCGTCTCAGCAGCAACAGCAGCAGCAGCTGCTCATGCATGCGGGCGTTGGGCGTTGGCATGGGTAACGGTAGCGATGAAGGTGTACAAGAGGATTCCAAAGATGGCATTGTCAAGATCAAGCAGGAACAGTGCCAGGACAGGCCGGATGTAGAGCAGATTGAGACCAGCCCCGAGCTACTGACCGATGTCAAAGATTCCCAGCTGCTGGGCATTGGCGATGGCGAAGCGGATGGTGATATCAAGCCGCCCAGTCAGCTGGACCAAAAAATGACACTCCCGCCATTGGCGATGACCACGCCAGCCGCCAAATTGGCGGCTTTATATCGAATGCTTATTTCCTACAACGAGTCGAAGCTGGGACAGGAGCACAACAACCTCAACGAGCTGGAGCAGAAGGCGATGGAGAAGTCCATCTTTCTGTGCTATGTCTGCCGCACCGACTTTCCCTCCGTTAAGCTCTACGATGCACATCTCACGGAGCATCCCGCCGAGTGCTTCACCTGTGGCAAGAAATTCTACAGGTGGAAGAACTTCTCCCTGCATCTGAAGCGCCACTTGGGCTGGAAGGAGTTTGGCTGCTATGTCTGTGACAAGAAGTTTGTCGTGCGAAGCGCCCTCGTCGAGCACATGCGCATGCACACGGGCCAGACGCCGCTCAAATGCAAGATATGCGGTGAGTAGGCGCCTCAAAAACATACCCATAGCCATAGCGAATTGTTCTAATTAATGCTTCCTTTTGATTGATAGGCAAAAAGTTTAAGCGGTATTCGAATTTGACGCAGCATCGCAAGCGTCACACAAAGGTGATGGTGCGCAAGAAGGAGTACGTGTGCCACTGCGGCGAGGTGCTGCCGTCGAAGGCACGCTTCCTGTGGCACAAGGAGACGCACGATGTGAAGCCCAAGTGCTGTCCGTATTGCTGCGACCGGTTCGTGCATGCCAACTCGCTGCGCCGCCACATACGGCTGGCGCATTCGGATAAGTTCGACTACGCCGAACCGATGGAGTGTCCCATGTGCAAGCAGATCTTTGCCAAGACCTCGATCAAGGCGCATATGGCCACGCACTCGACGGATCCGCAGTACGACTGCGCCATCTGCAACAAGAGCTTCTCCACCAAATGGAATCTCAAGATACACTCGTGGGTGCACGCCAATCGGACGGCGAAACCGTTCAAATGCGAGTACTGCCCAAAGGCGTTTGTGCGAGAGCTGGACTTCAAGAACCACATCAACGCACACAAACAGATAAAGCCGTACACCTGCGAGTACTGCGGCTGCAAGTTCATACGAAAGTACAACTACATGAGGCACCGACGCGAACACCACGGCACCAAGAAGTTCACCTGCGACCAGTGCGACAAGTCATTCCATCGGCACTACTATCTGATCGAGCACCGTCGCATGCACACGGGCGAGCGGCCATTCACCTGCACCATATGCGGCAAGAGCTCCACCACCAAGACCAATCACAACAAGCATCTGAAAATCCATCACTCGCGCGATCCCTTCACCGTGGAGGTCTAAATGAATAATAATCTAACTAACAACTAACGTCTAATATAACCATTAACTAGGTAGTTGTTCATGACTCTTCTCTGTGTGTACTACGTGTGTCTCTGCTGATGCAAAAGCATCATGCAACAGCAACAGCAAAACAAAACAAATTAGTATTACTTATCGAACTATTATATATTTAGTTTACATACGCGAATGCCAATTCTTGATAAAACAAAACAAAAAAGAAAAACAATTTCTTGTTCGAAATGCAAGAAAAACAGACATACAACAGACAGACAGACAAAACAAACGAAACAAAACAAAACAATTATCACAATAACAACATTTTACTAATCGTACATTTTGGATGTGGTTTAAGAACTTAGCTAAATGTAAAGTGTTTCCTTTCCCCCCCCATGCCCATCCGCATCCCCACCCCACCACCACCACCATTTTCCCCCAATACGCAAAAGGCATGCGAATGGCGGAATCGTTTTGCCTGCTTTAATCCCGTTTAGTTTTAAACACATTTTAGTAAAATATGGCATACCTAGGTCAGTGCAATATACATATGTATAAGTATACATCAATTACTTATTATGCCGCAAAAACCATTTAGTTTCTGTAATTTAGTTCGCAATAGGTTTATTCATTTATGTATGTATATCGATGGGTTTTGCGGGAGGCGAAGCCCCAATCCACATATAGTTAATTTAAGTTAGCCACAATTGGTTCTACAAAACTTTCGAGTTTTCCAAACTTGAGCACATTCGAAGCGAAGGACATACCTACACACATACATACACAGAAAACGAATCCCATCTAACAACTTGTTATATAATTTGTATTTTTCTAATTGAAGAGATTACTCTCTGCCAGCAAATCGAACGTAAGCGAACACAACTGTCATATTGGATAAACAATTTCGATGTACGTAGAATATTCTTGATTTATAGTAGTTGCAACTTCTCTAGGCTATTTTAATGGATTGTTTCAATGGTTTAAAGCATCAATTAGTTAAAATTTCTAGCATTAAGTGAACAAAACATTAAGTCTAAATGAAATTTCATAATAATACCATGCAACCATGCATAATAATGATAACGAAAACAAAACAAACAAACAAAAAAAAACACAAAAAAATGAAAACCAAACAATTTTAAAATATTTACAAATTACATACAAATTTCAATGAGAACTAATGGAAAGAAACCCATTCTATGGAGGAAATAAATTCAATTTATGGATAATTACAAAACAATCATACGCGTATATATTTTATTTATATTTTTCTTTTAATCAAAAACTTAATGAGGTGACTCTCCGTTTAAAGAGCCTTTACGATTTCCACAGTCATCCCGGAGAAAAAAAACCAGAGCTCAGGTTTAACTGTGCTACCAATGCCAACGACCTCAGAAAGGTGAATGTTGACCTCGCCCTCTTGGCTGACTAATGACAACATGGGATTCTTCATGGCGATGTCAAGTTAATCAACTCATAATGTTTGCACGTGAACGGCATTTGGTTTTTCTTTTCAATATAAATTCCAATTTCATCCAATACCTTCCCTGCCAGTATATCCTAGTCATTCGTAAATGTCTCGGTTTCGTTGAAAAAGGTACATGGATATTAATTAATTTTAAATGATAATTTAAAGTTAATTAAAACATGAACAGATATGACGAAGCCAACACACGCGGTGTTCCCAAAGGGGACCCTATCTTAGTTTGTACTCGTTAATATGTTTAACATTTTTGCAAAGATAGAAACTATCAATTGAGGTAATAATTACGAGTATGGTTTACAATAGAGCGAGCGTATTGTTTCAATTGGTATTGGCTAATGATAGAAATCGACTTAGCCATAAAACATCAGAAAATACACTCGTGGTAAAACTAAATTTCACCCATCAATATAGTGCGAGCGACACTTTGAGATTATTTGAATAGTAGGAGGATTAATAATAAGGAGTAATAATAATTTTAGCCATGAATAATGAGAGCTTAATAAGCTATTGTTGTAGTTTTTTATTTAGGACCTGAAAAATTTTAGCCGTTTCCATAGAGCTTCGTCCGTTACATCTCTCTCTCTCTGTCCGTCCCCCTCATTTGGTTCTCTAACTCTAAGTCTACGATATCTGTGCGTTAAAAAAGACGGGTATATCCACACGAATCTAGTCATATACTCTTGGAGAACCGTGTATAAAAAGCATGATTTGATCCCCATTTAGACGACAACGGGAAGTGATGTTTTAATAAAATAACTCGGATAATTTTGGAATTTTTATAAGAATGTGTGTGTTTATTAATTTGATGAGTTAAGACAAAAATTAAAATAATATTGTTATACATATTCAATTATGTACTTATTTAAATGAAGACGCATATTCAAAATGCTTTCGAAAATTATGAATTGGATAGAGTACAAAGTGGTAACCTGTTTTCGTTTTTTTAGACGACAAAAATTAAATAATTCCGATTGTTTGTCAATTGAATAAGAGAATGTTGAAACTGAAAACTTCGATACATATTAATTTATGTTATAATGAAAATTAAGTAAATGCGCATATTCAAAATGATGTTGAAAGGTGAGAGTTTTTTATATATGTTTTGGATTATTTTCACTTTTTGAGGAACATCCAATTTTCAATTAATGGTTCATACAGTCGCTTTGTCGAGTTCTTATTCTCGAAGAGTTCGACTTCGATCAGCTTGTGACCATCTCTAATGGATTCGCTGGATGAGTCGAAAACTGCTTCGGAACGATCGCACTTGCTGGCGTGGTAGTTGGAGGGGTAGTGAACTCTGGCAAACACTTCAGGATAATTACAGAGGCAAGCTTGCAGTGCCTGATAAACGGTCTTCTCGCCGAATTTCTGGTTCCTCTTAACTCCGTGCAGTTTGACGCGGCACGAACGCAACGGGAACATAAACAGTTCCTCGGGCATCTCCTTCAGGTGGGCATAGGACACCGTTTCGGTGTCATGGAAATCAATGTAGTATACGGTGGCTTGTTTAGTGGGCTTGTGAATTTCCTTGACAGTCGCACGATACCATAGTTCATCCTTGGAGTAGCGGGCCAGACACAAAGCATCCAGCAACGGATGCAGTGGCGCCGCCTTATTTATCAGGGCGCTTGTTTCCTGGACCAGGCTAATATCACGTTTTGTGAACTCACACAGGCTTGGCGAAATTTGCAGCTCAGTAGCTGAGATTAGGCAGTCGATGGTACACTGGAACTCTTTCACTCCAGCCGGCAAAATGTGTGACTTGAAGGAGCCCTGGCCGCCATAGAGAGACCGAACTGTGGATGTGTCCAGTGGTGCGAAACTGGCGTTGTTCTTCATAGTCTTTGGGGTAAAAGAGTAAAAAGCATTATAAATAAATGTGACCTCTTCTCTAATAAGGGGGGCATATAAATACCTTATAGCGCAGCTGAATGCGGCGAAACAACTGATCCTTGCAAACGCCAAATTCTGGCTTCTCCTCAGTGCATGTTTCCTTGTCGTCATCCCCGTTCTCATCATCCTCATTGTCGATGCCTTCGTCGATGTCGGCATTCTCGAATTCCATTGAAACAGTGCTGTCGGCATCTTGGGGGCGTGATGGGTCCATGCTCATGCCATCGCCATATTCGACATCGAAATTATCGAAATGTGTCCCAATGTTGATTGGCTGACGCTCATCTGCCGCTTGTCGGCAGTCAATGTCCCGATCGAACTCGAAACCCTGTACATTCGTGTGCTTTACATTATACTTCTTTTTGACCGGCGGAGACTGGGCCGTTGAATGGGTTTCGTCGTTCACCCGCCGCTCTGGCCTCGTCTTAGCCGACATAATTGGACCACCCGCAGCCAAAGTCTCCAGCTCGTCAAAGACCTTAAACGCATCCAAAGTCGGCGTGGGCATTGAAATGCCTTTTTCTTTCACACGTGAGTCAACTGGCACCGCCATGCCGATGTGCAACATCATGGTGGCTACATCCACGGAATCCACCTTTATTTGGCAGGACGGTATCTGTTTGGGTCCACAGTGCTCTTTCACGCTCACGCTGCACACTTGCGTAACAATTTTCTTGTGCACGGTGTCCATCTCAATCAAGGTGTACTTTCCGCGCTTGGGCCGCACGCCGTGAATCGTCACCAGCCAGCAGAGTGCATTTAGCTGGGGAAATGGAGCGTATGGCAACAACTCTTCCGCCAATACCGTCTCAATGTTGCCGTAGTCCACGTATAACACCGAATAACCACCCGCGCTCTTGTGACCCTGCACAATGCCACGATACAACTCGTTGTCCAGGTGATAGGTGACCAGCACCGGCTGTCCCACGACATAGGTGGTCGTGGTTGGACCGCGACGCTCCATCATCGGTTTGAAGCGTTTCTTTAGCAGGTCGCGCATGTGCTCCGTGAATGGTTTATCGGAGGCCAGGCTCATATAGGGGTCACAGTCGTAGTTCACATTCGTGACGATGCCAGTGTAGAGGGATTTCTTGCACGGGCGTGGCGTCATCCAGCCAGGTGGCGGCTTCACCTGTCCTGTGGTGGGTGAGGATGTGCCGAAATCCATGAGAAGCTGCATCGGTGGCATACCCTCGCAGTGCTCAAAGGCCGGCTTGATTTTAAGCAATTTTGGTTCAAAAGTCTTTAGATATTCGCTTTCGTTCATTAGCGACTGCGCTGCCAGCTCCTCACTGGACTTGTTTGTTTCATCATCTAGCATCGGGTCCTTGTCAATCTGGTAGTCCTCCTCGGGATCCTTCTCGGCCACTCTGGCGAGGACGAGTGTCTCGTTGATATTGACAAACTTGGTTCGCGACGGTGTGAAGGGGCCCGTGACTAACCGTGTGCGAGCCATACAAGACGACGCTCATCGTCTGGCCGTGCCTGCCATGGCTAACCGAGTACAGCTGATCGTAGGCCTGTAGCTGGTCCTTGAAGAAATCAATGTTGTCCGCCGTCCACTGTTCGTTCTTGGGTCGTAGGCCATACAGTTGGCAGCGCTGGGCACTGGCAGCGATGTGTTGCTGCTCCTCGGATACCGTGGCGAGGCTCACATTTTCCACATCGCGCACCAGTTCGCCCAGGTCACGCAGTTGTACCTCGTAGCGTGGCAGATCGTTTTCATTGGTCGGCTGGTTGACGTGCAACACGACGCCTCGGTGCCAGAGGGCCGCCAAGTCGCCCTGGGCCCGCACCTGCACATAGCACATGTCGCGCTCCTTCCAGTCGAACTTGATGGGGTTGTTCTGGTAACGATCGGCAGCGTCTGCCTGCACATCCTCCTGGAGCTTCTGTATCGAGGACTTGAAGCTGGGCAGGGTCACGTAGAACTCGTCTGGATGGCGCACATGCAGCAGCTCAACGTGCACATGCTTTTTGCGTTGCTTGTCTGGCAGTAGCGGCGACAATGGCACGCTGTCCTTCTGCAGTTCGATGAACTTGCGGGTGTCCACATCGAGGGGCATGACATTCACTGGGGCAACGTCAGCCTGCTGGCTACTTTCGCCATTCGAGGCGCAGTGCTCGAGGGCCACCATTTGGACACCAACGCTAAGGGACTCCGAACTGGAACGGATGACGTCCAAGGTCACACGGTACACATCCTCGTGCACGCTGATCACCTCCATGTGCATCTTGGGATTCGAGGTGAGCTGCTTAAACGCAGCGATCGCTTCCGGCGTCCACAAGTAGTCGTTCGCCTGCAGAGTCTCCACATCGGCCAGACAGCACTTGATGCTCAGCTCTCTTTGCTCTCTCTCTTCCTTGGGCAGCACGAACAGCTGTGCCCAGGATACCTTCTGCGTGGATCCAAAGTCGACGAGTCGAACTATCACGTACCCTACGAATAGAAACGATAATTGTAGCACCTCACGCTCACGCTCACATGCCTCATCGGGCACTGCACTGCACTGCACTCACCATCTTTCAACAACATTTCGATGCAAACGCGCACCCAACGGTCCTCCAATTGCATCACGCAACCCATTTGCAGCCGCCCCACAAAGATGTTCTCCAGATTGTCGAGATCCATGCAGTCCATGGTACGCCTCAGCGAGTCCTCCAATTCGGCGCGCTTGCGTTCTAAGTCGTGTCGCATCACATAGAACTCTTGGGGATGATTCACATGAAGCATTTGTATCATCAGCACATCGCCGATTTGTTGTTTAGTCTTGGGAATGCGTTGGGCCTTTGGGGCCATCAGTTGCTCCAGCTCCGCGGCAGAGCCACCACGAGCACGCGCCAGTCCAGCGTATAAAAAGGCTTCGCGCACAGATATATCGGCCTTGTAGTTGGTGGTGATGAGGTCCACTTCGTGATGTTGATGCGACAGGGCTCGCTTTACGATCACATGTACGGGATGCCTGCAGGGGGAATCAGCAGGGTGTCAGCACGGGGGTCAGATCTGCATTCATTTACTCATCACTTACTTATTCAGCACCATCTTGAAGTGGGTACTGGCCCGAGTATCCCACATCGCAAGCCTCGGCTTCAGATCGCTCAGGCTGCAGTGGACCGCTGCGTAGGGGAACAGGGTCAAGCGATAAGGAAGTTCATGGAAGCTGCAAAAGAATTTCAATCATTTTCAAATGATATTTCAACAGATGTTCATTCACTCATTCACTTACTTGCTGCTGTGCACCATGAGATTCAGGCCGATGTCTGGCAGAAAGACATCATAGGTGTCGGGTATCTCTGTCAATTTCTGGCTGACAAGGACGCGGTGGAAGCGATCCTCGTCCTTGTGGTAGGCAATGTAGTGCTGGCCCACCACAATGTCCACGGGCGTGGAGCTGGGCGTCAGGACATACGAGTCCAGTTCCGTGCGCAACTGCTTGGCCGCTTCAACGCCCTGCACGTAAAAGTCCTCGGGTGATTTGATGGCAAGCACACTCACCTCTGCATTGGACTTGAACCAGTCGGTGGGGCGTGTGGTATTGGCATTGGTATTCCCCTTTGATTCGTTTAGATTCGTGCTGATATCCATTGCCGAGAAGGTTCGCTCCAGTTCGTTATCCTGTGCCGGCGCTGCTCTATAATTAATCATCGGGCGACGCTTTTGATTTTGGTTCTGGCTATTGGCATTCGGATTCGGATCACTTCGCTCAGCACGCATCCGCGGGTGAATAACAGCCTGCTGCTGGTACATGTTTTCCTTGCCGCTGCTCGATGTCTGGAAGAAGGAGTTGGCGCCATTCGCGCTGGACACACTGCTGCTGTTGCGCTCGAGCTCCGACCGGAAGCGCACCACAATGCGCGGGTCGATGTAGTCGCACTCGAAATGCTTCTCAATCATTTTGTGCAGCTCCAGGCAACCGCCGGACAAGCTGAAAAAATATGCACAAGAGTTGAATAAATGTTTTTGGGCACACTGAACACCGAACACTGTAAATACCGATAGGGATTGCCGTCCACCTTGCTCACTTTCACGGAGCTTGGCATTTTCTCCAGATTTTCACTGGTCAGACGCAACAGCTCCTTGAGCCAAAAATCCTTTGGCGCTGGGCTGACAGGCGTCGTGTCCTTTTCCAGGAATTGCTGCAGTTGCTGTGCCCATGGAAGTAGCAGATAATAAATAAATAAACAAATAACACACACAATTTGTCCACTCGCTTACCTTGATCACAGCCTCGTAACCATTCAGCATATCCATCGCTTTCTTCAGCTCCATTTGGCCCGGCTGGCTGGACTCTCGCAGCTGCTCGGTGAGCTTCAGTTCGGACATCTGAAGGAGGCCGTGCAGCTGGCCATAGCGCTGCGTTATGCTGCCCAGCACCTCGACGGCATAGCCGCTCTGCTTCGCATTGGCCGCGCGCACCACCTGCGAAAGACAAGACACAAAATTACCGCAGTTTTAATGCAAAAGATACAAATGCAGATTAAAATGATGTACATTCTAATAACATGGGGCTCTGCCGCGCCGCCACCTCTCCAGCAGGTGAACGGCAGGCAGGCACAGTGTCTGCTCAACGCGGTTCAACTTTTAATTGTGAATTTCTCAATCGGCAATTTGGAGGCAACTTCTTCTTCCTCTGCTGTTCATCCTCCTCGCCTCCTCTTTGTTTGAGTTGCAATGATCATTATCAGAAATTGTTTGGCTCTTGGTTTGGGGTTTTTGAAAGTGATTGTAAAAGCAAACCCAAACTAAAAGCTGGCTGGCTGGCTGGCTGGCTTATGACAGCTGATTTGTAGCAGATGACAGGCAAGTTCGCGCCAATGGCTGGTTCTCCCATAAAAGGGAGATCCAAACCGATCCGATCCGATACGAACCGATCAGATCAGATCCCAAACTCGACAACATCTCAAGTGTTGTCGTGTAAATGATGCCGTCGTGTAGGAGCCCGAATCTGGCACATCATTAAAATGAAACTTGGTTGGTTTTTTTTTTTTTTTTTTTGATCTGCCACTCCATTGCCTCGGGCCACGGGTACCTCCTCGTCGGGTAATGTGAAATCAATTCACTTGACCTTGTCAAGGGTCTTGCCACTTGATGTGTCTTGTGGCTGTTAGACATAGACATTTTCATTGTTTACCTTGTCTATCCACACCCCACACCACACCACCCCTTCCATCCATCCATCCATCCATCCATCCATCCATCCACTACACACACGTCAACCAGCACACATCGCGGGACAGAGTGAGAGCCTCTAGATACCGCGTTTCATATTCATATTCCTATATTGTACATACAGTCCGTCCCCTCGCCAATTAGTTTTAATGGTCGCCCAGCCTCGAAAAAAAAAAAAAACTTTTCAATAATCCGCAATCTCAGGCCCCAATTCGAATTATCACAAGCAGCAAACGGCAAGCAGTCAACGACTGACTGACTGACTATCCACTTCCTACACAGGCCACGAGTTTTATGGCCGCATTAAAGAACTCTGCGAGTGGGCACCCCAGCCCAAGCCCAGGCCAGCCACGTAACAATAATAACAACAGCCAAACAGAAATTAAGCAACCCAGCCCGGCCAAAGCAGCCTATGGCTTTTATTCCTTCTGCTCTGCTCTGCTCTGCTCGGATCTGGCTAAAATGTGAGAGCACGTCATGAGCATATTCGTTTGACTTAGAAGCCAACACACAACACAATGGGGCAGGAGGGGCCAGAGCTGGACAAGCCGAAGCCACGAATACCCTTGCATGGAACGAGCCCTGCCAGGATAAAGTAAAAATTATAAGTATAAATCTTATTTAGTATTTTGTGGGCATATTTTTGTGATGATCAATCCTACGCAATTTATAGCCTGGCATAATTAAGAGATATTAAATGCTCGCCCTCTAGCTTATGTATTAGTGTTTGATCGCACATCAATCACTTTGGATAGTTTCGGTTCGGTTCGGTTCGGTTCGGCTGTGCTGAGCTGAGCTGGCTGCTGTCATAATTTGATCTGCTCTCTGATCAGCCTCTCTGGACATTGATTTAATGTGCCTTCGCGCATTGCATAACCTTGCGACGACTACATTTAATCGGTCATTTATTCGGGCAGTTCTTAAAGTTATTTTCCAGTCAACACTTTGCGGCGCAAACATTCAACCTATTAGCGCGTAATTAAAGTTACACAAAAAGCCAAATAAAATATGCGATTATTAAATGCAATTTTCATTCAGTGACTGGAAGTGAACAACATAAATTTCTTGTTTAATAATAAACTTTTGTAGTAAATAAGCCGACGGCAGTCTATCAGAGAGAGACAGAGAGTCAAGACACCGCCGCAGACAGTTCATTTTGGCCAGTTTATCAATTACAGACAAACGGACCGACGGACGGACGGGCGGACTGATCGGGCTGCACGGACACTCAATTTGGTGGCGTTTTGTGCCGCCTCGTTAGTCAGTTGTTCGGCTTTGGCTCAGAGTTCGTAATGCGTAATGCGTAATGACCAGGCTCGAGCTCGACTTTTGCCATTAATAATTGTTTCTCGTTTTATATAATTTGTGTACGCTCTTGCTCTTTTCGTATATCTATTTTTGCAATTAACCATGGGGGAAGCGGACGTTTCTGCACGCCTTGGGGCACACCGGAGAGGAGTGCTGTCTGGGCTAATGTGATTATGATTTATGTGGGAGGCCTTGAGAAAAGGCTTCTGGCTGCTGGCTACCGCTTGCCGATCCGATCCAGACAAGGCTAATTGAACATATGCTGGTCATGGCATGGCATGGGCCCAGCACCAAATAAATCAGTAAGCATTCAAATGCAGGCCCACATCGGAGACGAACGAAAACAACAATCGTGGCAGAAGCTTCTCTCTCTCTCTCCTTACTGCAGGCAGACATTTTGTGGCAGAGCTCTGTGCCACAAGGTCACTCGCGACACTTTGATGCGCTCCACTCCAAGCAGCGAAAGCCACCAAAAAATGAAAGGCCTCCAAAAAACATTCTAATAGTGCCAAAAAAAAAAAAAGAAGAAAAAAAGACACATTGTATATAAAATATATAGAAAAACATAGTTACATGATTAATTAAAAGCTGCTGCTGCTGCGGGTCTTGTCTGCTGATTTTTTGTTCTTTCGCGTCGCTTAATGGCCTGAGCGTTGGATTCGCAATTTGCGCGAAGGTTGTGTGCGCGACAAGGAGAGGAGAATAGGGTCTAAGTCTGTCGCCGGCGAACTGTGATTCATCGGCCAATTGGAAATTGCGTAAGGCTGGCAGGCTGGCTGGCCAGATTGGAGCAGAGCAGAGCTGAGGAGATCAGAGCAATGCCAGTTAGTACACAGGCTGGCTGGCTGGCTAGTTAGTACAATTAAAAGTGGGTGAGCAGATTGCGCTCAAGCTGAACATTTTCGGAGGCACGACAAACGAGTTCGCATCCACTCAGACTCAGACTCAGACTCTGAGCCAGAGTCAAAGCTTTCAACCGTTTGGGCGCTCAGCCAAGTATTCAATTCAACAACAGGCAATTGCCTGCAGTCAGTCGAGGTTGAAGCGTCTTGGTGAACGGTTGTCGTAGACAGAGAGAGCAAAAGTACAAAGTAAAATAAAATAAAGTAAACTGATTTCCCGGCCGATACCGATACACGATACACACACCCCCGTGTCGAGCAGGCACACATTTTAGGCCATAATAATAAAAGTGAAACAAATGCAGATCAACGACGACGATCACGGCACTGATCTGCTTTAGCCCGTCCGTCTGTAAGCCGCCTTGCCTTGCCTTGCCTTTGTGTTGTGCCATATTCGTGCCCCATTGTCTCGACGCGACAGGAAAAAACTGAGGCAACCAACTGCACAACTGCAGAGTAAGACTGCTGTAAGCTGCAACTGCAACTGTTGCCGTTGAGGCAACTGTAACTGCCACTGCCACTGCAACGTGAAGCACCCGCCCGCTATTTTGGTGGCATATTAGGCAACCAACCCCCACATACGATACGATACGATACGATAGGAGAGTACGAGTGTGTGCCGCCTGCCTGCCTGCCTGCCTGTACTTAGCCGCTTTATAGGCCAGGCCAACTCATGCAAATTTGAGGCAATCTTTCGCTTTGGATGTAGCTGCTCGATACTCCAATTCCCCCCAACTACAACTACAGCTCCAGTACCAGACAAAAACACAGCAACAGAGGCACAACAAAATAATAAAAGCAAAAAAAACAACAACAAACAAACAAACGAGTGCTGCAATTGCAAATTGTCTTAATAGGTAGGCGCTGCTGCCACTGCTGCCGCTGCGAGACTGTTGCCAATAAAAACGGATTGATTGTAATTGTTTTATAAAACGAAATTTAACGATTCGTTAAATCGCTGTGAGATTTCAGCTAGTTTCGGCAGCGGTACTCCTCTCCCTACCCACATCGGTAATCGTTAATATTGTGTGAAAAACGATCGCGGTTTTTGGCGGCTCTCTTGCCAATCGCCTTTCTTCAAGTGCATTAAACGGAGTGCAAAGCGGAGTAGGAGAGGCAGTGTATAGAGATAGAGAGAGAGAGAGTCCCAGTGCCCCCCATAACGATAGCCGAATATCCAAGAAACCGAGCAGCCGAACAGCAAAAGCAGCCACAACATGTTGCCCAGGATAACTTTGGTGTTTATCATTATTTGTGGATATTTATTATTTACGGGTAAGTGCAAATAAATCAAAAGTACCCTCAGCATGGCATCAATGGTACCCGCATGCCATGTACCTGTCGAATCGGGACTTGTTTAGCCGTTACTTATCTAACATCAAAGACACTTGTGGAGGATTGAAAGAGGGGAAACACAGATAAATATGCAAAGGACTTTTACTTGGTGTTGAATGACTTGAATACTTAGATTTTCCTGTTGCAAAAAGAGGTACTGCCACCACAAAGAATTCCAGGTGTAAAGATGTGAAGACTTGCACAAGAACAGAATTTAAATGAATGACCGCTCGATTGCTTGGGTGTGTCAGAACTGATTTTATACCGAAACATAATTGTCGCTTAGGCTGCAGCAGAATTGGATTATGTACAGAGTACATAAATATAATACGTACATGCAAGCATCAGCATAAATGGCCAGCATGTATAATGGAATACGAGTACAAACATATTTACACACTGCAGAATATGCAGTCTATGTGATCTAGTCCGAGGGACTAGATCAAATGGGTTTCTTGCTCTATGCCAGCACTTATATAAATGTAATTATATTTGTGTAAAGTTTGTCTGCTCCTATGTATTTATGTTATATTCCGCTGCAGTATGCTGGAAGTCTCTGCCGGATCATTCCACTCATCAGAGTGATAAGCTAAGTACAACGCTCATCTAAGAGATCTAAAACTTGAGCTGGTAAGGGCTTGCTTGAAGTTTTTTGTCCCCCAAACATTTAGACAGAGACTTTGAAAAGGAAGCGGAGGAGTAAAAAAAATCTGGCATGTAATCCAAGCAACTTTTCTTTTGTGTTCTCATTCTAATTAAATCATTCATTATAGTACGTGAATGATTTATTTATATTATGATTAATAAACACGAGTAGTAAGTACTGCTATGGAAAATCGGAAAATTTGTAGTCAAATTCCAAAAACGGGAAATGTCGGGTCGCAATTCAAATATCTTATATGTAGGTGCAAATTGTTGGCGTGTGCCAATCGCTGCTGCCTCGTTCAATCATACCCCCAAAACCAAACCGAATGCAGGAATTTGCATATCAATCATTCGCTGCGTGTTATGTGGCATGGTGGCATATTGATTTTGGGGCTATTTGATGTATGGGTTTGAGAGCAGATCGAGAGAGAGAGATCGCATTCGCATTCGAGAGAGCTGCTCCTTTCCATTCCAAAAGTCCAAGCACCCACCACATAGAGTATCTATCCGTACAGCAGCAAGAACCGCGCATTTATGGTCACACCAACCTGCCACACGTTTCTTCTTTTGGCTCTCGGTTTGGCTCGGCTCGGCTCGGATTTAGTTAAATCAAATTACACGCAGAAAAATGCAAGTTAAGCGCAATAAATTCAAGCAGATTACACGACAACGACGCCACTTTGATGGACGTATCTGCGTATGTATTTCGTGTATCTTTGCGTGCGAGTGTGTGTGAATGAATGCTGCTGGTGGTGGAGGTGGGAACGAGTGTGGTGCCTGTGCCTGCCTTGATGTGTCAAGCTCCGCCAAAACCGCAAAAACCGAAAACTGCCTCCAAAACGTTGGCGATGGCTGCGTGTCTCTTTCCATTTTATGGTCCGTGGATCGGTGTTGGTTGCCCCCCACACCACCTTGGCTGTCCAGCCATTTGGCGCGCATGCGTAGCGTATGGGGCGTTTTGGGGAAGAGAGCCTTGCAACATCTCCCCAGACTCGACACGAAACAACGCTGCGGAATATTTGTATGCTTTATTGGCCAATGTGGCAAAAGTTCAGGTTATTTATGAGACGTTATGTCCAAGACTTTCTAATATGCCAAGCCCCATCACCAGCATCACCATTAGCCATAAGGCAAGCAGGCAGGCAGACAGACAGCTAGACAGGAAAGTTCTATTTGCCACTTGACATTTGGCAAAGATTTGAAGGTTGCCCAAGTCCGCACCCCAAAAAGCTGAACCAAAGCGAACCGAACCAAATGCTGCACGACATTTTCTGTGGCAAATGCAAAAGCAAAAGCAATTTTTATACATAGCTGCATATGTACCTATGTATGTATGTACCTATACCATGTACGAATAAAAAAGTAATAAAATTAAGAGACCAAGTCGAAGGCTGTGTGATCCGCGATCCGCCTTTGCCGTCGTCTGCTTTCTGCTATTTGCCATTTCAACGAGGTGCGATTTGTGGCCTGCCTCTAATTAACAGTCGGGTCGATCTGGCTGGCATCTGGCTGGCTCTGGCATTGTGTTTGATTATTACTTGGATTCAATACAAATTTCATGTCAAAAGTGTCTGTTGTCCACTCAGCCACAGCGGCGACGAGGCAAATGTCAAAGCGTCGCAGATTGTTGCTGGTATACCCTGTAATGATGTGGAGTTCCGGGGTCTAGTTGGGAACCATGGCAACGTGGAAGTTGCTTAGTCGTTCCATCCCTTTTTGTGGGCAACTGAATCCTTCTAAAAAGACTCTCGCCTGGAATACAGTCACTCGGAACAACTGACACAATCTAAAATTTGAAAGTGACTGGTAATGCCAAGTGCTTCATAAAGTCGCGATTAAGCAGCAGCAGCAGCAGCGGATCTTGCTCTGTGTTGGGTCTGGGAGTACATGTACAACAAAGTCCCTGAAGCTGAAGGGGGCCCATCTCGAGACGAATGGCTTCCCACTCACATTAAGCATTCATCCGACACAGGCAGCCGCAGCCAGCCGCCACACAAATCAGCCGCCGCACCAAGCCAGCAACACACGGCGTATACGTAATGCATGCCACTAACTGCTAAGCAACCTTTTTGCCGCTGCTGCTGCTTATTATGCGCCGCTGCTGTTGTTGGGTTAAAAGCCAGCACATCCGCTTTAGGCATCATCGGCACAGCAAATGATTTGCCCCATTCGAATGCAAATGATTTTCAATTATTGCGAGATGCGATGCCAAAGACACAGCTAGCTAATTGTGGGAAAACGACAAATGATTTCCATGCGGAAACTTTTATGATATACTAGAGCCTCCACTCTATAGGTCAATAAATTCTTTGCCGCACTAGGATGTGGGTTAAAAGCCACCGTGGCACCAGGTGCAGCACACTATGCCGGGCTTCGTCCCCAGACAACACACGCAATGCACTGCAACAAAAACATTCTGCATGTTCATATTAATTGATTTATATGCATGGCTAACACAACAAATGCAAACACCCTGCAAACAAAAATCAAAAACAAAAACAAAAACAACTCTGACCCGATACAGCCAGACAGACAAACAGACACACAAAAGACTTACCTGCCTGCGCACAAACATTTTTGCGCGTAAGTCAAACATTTTGGTACACACGAGAAAACAATTTATGCGGCTGTCAGCCAACAGCCACCAAACAGCCAACACATCGGCCCGGCCATTGGACCATTGGGAGACCACCTCCCCAGCTGACATATGCAAATGGCTCGACCGAACACGGCCCAAGACAACAGCGCGATAAACTGCACAAAAAATGCGGCATGTCACACACATAATACTAATCCCAAGCATTAATTCCGATTGAGTTTTTTGCAATTTGTCAAAAAAAAAAAATACAAGCAATATTCTCTACGAAAAAAGAAACCTGCACCAATTTTTAAGCTGCAAAAGTTTTTCTAGAACTCTTAAAGTTTCAAGAGCAATACGCGCGCAGAATTATAATGCTATAAATTACGATCTGTAGATAAACTAAATTATCCACACTGGAAATTAAATGCAAGTTAATAATCACAACGACTTATAATTGCCTTCATAAACTGATTCTAAGTCTTTCGGTAGCTCTCATCGTTATTATGTACGTATTACTTTTATTCCTTTTCTATGGATTATAATCCATAAAACTGCCTGCAGAATCTTTGTCATGTTTTTTCAGAGAATCACTCAACGCACTTGCATTAAAACTGCGACAGCATCATCCACACAAAATGCTCCACAGAGTCCATTAAATAGCGGCTCATGTTAATGCTCTGGCATAATTTTCAATTAAAATGAAATTTGTTTTGTGTGCGACAAATTGCGGAAAAATTCAGTCATTTATATTTATGAGACATGCGACATGAAAAACTGCCCGGGCCAGCACGCGGAAAGCGTCCTCCCACCTCTCCCTCTCTCTCTCTATCCTTTGGACGGACGGGCGGTTTGGAAAACTGTGGGAACCACTCACCGCGCGGCCTTTCAATGCAATTAACATGAAATAAAAATACATAATTACATATAAAAGCTTATTAAACTGTGTTTGTGTGTGTGAGTGTTTGCAGCAGACAACGATGATCGGATCAGCAGCGTTTGGGAGGATAATTGTTTATTTTGTGCCTTAAAGTAGGTGAGAGCTTCGTCCATGCAATGGAAACTCTATTGGGGGGTTTTGTTATGGTGTTGCTGCAAAAGCATAAACAAAACAAATTCATGTGGTGGTTGGTGGTGCTAACTTAGACCCACAAAGTGGTGCTTTCTTTTTTAAAATCCGTTTTTGAATGCCCCGTAGAATCAAACCGAAATCACAAAAAAAAATAAATAAATAAATGTAATTTGTAAGATTGATCACACAACTTGCAACGTGCTGCAGGAAACCCTTCCTCGAGCGAAATTCCCGGCGCTACCTCCTACACCCAAATGCAAATTTATGCTTGTAATGAGCTGCTGTTGAGCAGCCCGACCAGCAGACCGAAACTTGTACATCGACGAGGCTCTACTCTGGCCACCGCCCATGAAATCGGAGGCCTCGAGCGCCTAGCGGCGGCCCGCTTACGTGGTAGTTAACTGGAAACGCTTAAGGCGCTTTACTGGATTGCTTTGGATATAGTTATATAGTTATGGTGGGTGTCTTATGGCCAGCGATAACAATCCAAAGACAACGAGAGCTGTTCTAACGGCATTTCGTACTAAATTTTATATGGTCGGTTATGGGCGGGTGGGTTTAGGCCAATAGTTCTCCCCGGCCGGCCTGTGGATTTGTTTTTGGCCAAATCCAAATAGATTTTTGGCTGCGTTCATAATTTAAACG